GGGGTAGGGGGTAAAGAGTCTACCTGCCAATGCAGGAGATGCGGGTTTGATCCCTGGGTTGGGAAGATCCCCTTGTGAAGAAAATGGCAACCCACTTCAGTATTTTTGCTTGGGAAATCCCATGGACAGAGGAGCCTGTTGGACTACAGTCCATGGGGTTGAAAAGGAGTTGGATATGACTTAGCGACTAAACAACAACAACAAACAACTAGGTTCGTCATGGCTTTTCTTCCAAGGAGCAAGCGTCTTTTAATTTCATGGCTTCAGTCACCATCCGCAGTGATCTTGGAGCTCAAGAAAATAAAATCTGTCACTGCTTCCACTTTTTCCCCTTCTATTTTTCATGAAGTGATGGGACTGGATGCCACTATCTTAGTTTTTTAAACGCTGAGTTTCAAGCAAACTTTCTGACTCTCCTTTTTCACCCTCATCAAGATGCTCTTTAGTTCCTCTTCACTTTCTGCCTTTAGAGTGGGTAGCGTGGACCTTAACACATTCCAGTAGACTTTGTGCTTCTTTCAAGAGATAATTTCTTAGCCACTGGGGAGTTGAGTGGTGCGCTATGCCAGCTGCTCCTGTGTCTGTTTTCCTCAAGCCAGGCCAGTGTTGAGGGAGCATTGGACCTGGTGGGAACACGGGCAGTGAGGAAGCTGGTTCGTATCAGCCTCCAGGAGTCCCTCTGGATGATTCAATTGGGGCTTGGAGGATAGGAGTGCTTCTGTCTAGCCAGGGATGTGACTGCCATGCCAGACTTGCAGGAAAGGGAGTCTCGAGAAAGCCCCATGTTCTCTGACTAATTGGGCCCATCTGATTTGTACATGTTCTGTGATGGTGCTAGTGACACTGTGCCCTGCCACAACATAAGGTCCTAAGGAAAGCGGGTGTTGGGTGTACTGGAGAATGGTTGCTGGGCTCATCAGAAGATGGAATGGCCCTTGCCCAAGACTGATTAACTCAAGTCTTGCCAAGCTCATCTGAATGCTTATAAGAGCCTCTGGGTTTTGGCATTTTGAACGGGAACAGTGGCCAATAAGGAGATGTGGAGTAATGGGGTTGTTACATTTGCCTCTATATTTCATCTTTCTCTTTTTTTAATTTGGCTGCTCCACATGGTTTGTAGGATCTCAGTTCCCCAACCAGGGATTGAACCTGCACCCTCGGCAGCAAAAGCATAGTTCTAACCAATGGACTACCAGAGAATTGAGTACTTTTTAGTAGTACAGGCCTACTAATGAGAAGAATGGAATTCTTTGTTGGGGAGATAACATTTCACTTAGTTGAGGTTCAAAGTTTTCTCTCAAATCGATTGTGAAAGTTCATCTGTAAATACTGTCTTAGTTTGTGGGCTGTACGAAAAGAGACAGTGAGCTATCATTTGCCAATGCCTGTTCTAGAATCAGTCTAGGGGTGTACTATTGATAAAAATGTTAGATAACATGTATAGAATATTAGTGAAGTGAAAGTCATTCAGTTGTGTCCAACTCTTTGCGACCCCATGGACTATACAGTCCATCGAATTCTCCAGACCAGAATGCTGGAGTGGGTAGCCTTTCCCTTCTCCAGGGCATCTTCCCAACCCAGGGATCAAAGCCAGGTCTCCTGCATTGCAGGCAGATTCTTTACCAGCTGAGCCACAAGGGAAGCCCATAGAATGTTAACCACATATCAAAATACCAGGGTAAGTGTTCTACCTCTTTCATCTCATTGGAGCCTTTGATAACCTGGTGGTAGAAGTTACTCCTTTTCTATTCATTTCATAGGAAGGACAGGAGACTGAGAATAGAAGGGAAGGACACTTGCTCAAGGTTGTTCATCGAGAAGCGGCAGTAAGTTTTATACCTAGGTGTGTCTGGGTGCAGAGTCCACACCCATAACCATTAGGCTAAGGTGTTCATCCACAAGTCAGAACTTGATGTGACCATGGCCTCCATAAGATACTAAACCTTTGTAACCACTCTATATTTTGCTTATTTGTTTGCTGTTTTATTTTTGTTTTCTCCCCGTCTGTCTCTTCGAATGATTGCCACCATCATCCTGCAAGCAAAAGTGGCTGGTGGTTTCTGTTTAGGAATATCAGCAGGGTGGAGAGAAAGGTAGGAGGGATCGAAATGGGTGCTGCCTTCTTCATAGTCAGAGTAGGGGAAGAACCCTAAGGGTTTAAGAAGATGGCATCAGCTTTTTTTTTTTTTTTTTGGTGGAGCAGTTAGAACACACACATTTATGAAGTTCATCTTATATGGGTGGCGTCAGCTTTAATTAAGAAAGCAGACTCGGGACTTCCCTTGCAGTCCAGTGATTAAGACTCCATGCTTCTAATGCAGAGGGCACAGGTTTGATCTCTGGTCAAGGAACTAAGAGCCCACAAACCAAGTGGTGTGGCCAAAAAATAAGCAAATAAAACTGAGGATAAACTGACTCCTAAGTCCTAGGTTGGGAATGAGGAGTCCTACATTCTAGAACTATTAAAAAAAAAAAAAGCAGACTCAACCCAACCATTTATAGATGAATTGTAACTTTTGAACACTTAATTCAGAAAACCCTTCAGTTTCCCTCATTTAATTTTTTTTAACCCTTTTATCTGCTTCAATCTCATCCATTCCTTGTATCCAACACCATTTTTTTCCCCTGAGGATTGTGCTTGTCAAAAGCCCTTCCCAATCAGTTTCTGAGTGTATGCACTGTCCATGACAGGCCTCTGTGACCCTCCAGACCACAGTTTGGAAGACCTAGGCTGCCCAGTCTAACACAATACCTCTGCTGGTCCAGACATGGCTACCAATACACAGAGGTACCCTGTGCTTGACTGGGTGCATGACAGCTGTGGGCACTCCCTAGGACCTGCTGGTCCACATACCTACCCAGCTAATTGCCAACATTCAGTGGGAGATTTGAGCACCTCCAAACCACAGTATAACTTTTCCCCAGACCCTCTATGGGAAGTGACATGATTCCAGCAAATCACTGCAACTATTAGAAGCCAGCCCCAACTAGAAATGCATATTGTCAAGAGTAGTTTTCTCAGAAACTCACAATTCCTATAGTTACATAGTGACCCCAAAATAGGTGAAGTAGCTTCTGTACTTTAAGGGGCTCTGGGAAGGCCATTTCCTCCCTCTAATAATGTATCCCCCTGGCATTTTAAAAAAAATTATTTTTTGGCTGCGCTGGGTCTTCATTGCTGGGCGCAGGCTTTGTCTAGTTGTGGTGAGCAGGGAATGTGCTTCATTGTGCTTGGGCCTCTCATTGCGGTGGCTTCTCTTGTTGTGGAGCACAGGCTCTAGGCACGCAGGCTTCAGTAGTTGCAGCTTGACAGCTCAGTAGTTGTGGCACATGGGCTTACTTGCTTCGCAACATGTGGCATCTTCCTGCGCCAGGGATCAAACATGTGTCCCCTGCATTGGAAGGTAGATTCTTAATCACTGGACCAACAGGGAATTCCTTGCTGGCATATTTTTGTTCAAAATTCTACAATCATAGATTTATACATTTGGCCAAGCATTGCCATTTCTGAACTCTTCTTTTTTTTCTTTTTTGAACTCTTCTTAAGAGGAAGTCTCTGGCAGTGGTAACACTCTACAGGACTTTAGCATAAATAGTTGACGGATCTCTTCGTTCAAAGAGGATGTGGCATCTTAGGGCACTGGGTAAAAATGGTGGGAGGACATTTCTGGCACTGTTTTGAATACTGTATAATGGCAATTCATTTAGTTGTCATGACAACTGCATAAAGTGGGTTCTAGCATCCCCCCATTTTACAGATGAGGAAACAGAGGCTTGCTGCTGCTGCTAAGTTGCTTCAGTCGTGTCTGACTTAAGAGAGCTTAAATACTTTGCCAAAAGTCACAAAGCTAGTAAGTGGAGTTCAAGATTGGGGCTGGAACCAGTGTTCCTTCTCTTTCAGTGTGACATTGTGTGGGGGGTCCCCAAGACCACCCCCAGGCTCACTGATTCCCTAGGAGAATTCACGGGACAGCCAGGAGCACACTTCCAAGAGTCCTTTGTCAGTGCAGTCACATGGGTCATGCTTAATTCCTCCAGCAACAAGTTGTGACCACACATGTGAAATATTGTCTACCAGGGACACTCATCAGAGACACAATGACCTAGGTTTTTACTGAGGCTGGTCATGTAGGCATCCTCTGCCCAGCATATACCAAAACTCCAGACTCTCAGAAGGAAAGCAGGTGCTTAGCATAAACCACACTGTTTGTAGGAACAGTTTAGGCCCAGTGAACCCCACTCTTACCAGTTCTGGGAATGGTGGGAACCCCCCTGAAATCCAAGGTCTTAGTCACCAGCCAAGGCCAACCTTATAGACAGGCTTTTCTAAGGAAAGCATACTCAGGTCTGTTACCTTAACTCTCTTTTTATTTGTTTTGTGGGTCCCTGACCAGGCAGTAAGAGCACAGAGTCCTAACCACTGGACTGCCAGGGAAGTCCTGCTCTGTTAACTCTTTAATGCCCAGATACCCTTTCCACTCATTGGTGTTTTTGAAAAGGATCAATTTGCGTTTTCCCTATTGTATAAGGATTGATCCCCACAGTAAAGCTCATGTCATTGCTCAGGAGTAAATGAGAGCATGCCTAAGGCACTTGGCACAGCATTTGTCACATAATAAGTGATATCATGGGCTTCCCAGGTGGCTCACTGATAAATAATCCACCTGCAATAAGGGAGACGCACGTTCAATTCCTGCTTCAGAAAGATCCCCTGGAGAAGGAAGTGGCAACCTGCTTCAGTATTCTTGCCTGGGAAATCCCATGGCCAGAGGAGCCTGGCGGGCTACAGTCCATGGAGTTGGAAAGAGCTGGACATGACTTAGCGACTTAACAATAGCAACAAATGAGAGCATGACTAAGGGCACTCCGCACAGCATGTGTCACACAGTAAGTAGTGTTGTCATCTTCACTGGCTGCTGCGTCATCGTTTCTATGTCCCTTAATGCTGCTGAGGGGCTCCAGTTAATCTTCTGCCTTCCCCACCACCCTGTTGTCTGCAGACGGCCCCTCACAGGTTGAGGTCAACATCTCCAGCACTGGCAGGCTCCCCAACGGCACCCGCTACGCCGCCAAGGGCTCCCAGGTGGACTTCAGCTGCAGCAGCAGATCCCGGCCTCCACCTGTGGTTGAGTGGTGGTTCCAGGCCCCAGATTCCACCGCCGAACTCTTTGGGAACAACCTGACCGCCAGCTGCTTCACGCTGTTACTAATGTCACAGAACTTGCAAGGGAACTACACCTGTTTGGCCAAAAACGTGCTCAGCGGGAGACATCGAAAGGTGACCACCGAGCTCCTGGTCTACTGTGCGTAAGAAACGCCCCCTCCTCCTCTTCTCCACCTTGACCCTTTGTGACCTGTGTGTGTGTGCCTCCCTTTGTGCACAAAGACGTCCCTGATACACGGGTCCTAACCTGCTTCTGTGGTTCCCTCAACACACATGGACACACCCGAACTGCATGTCAGAGAGAATGTTGCCTTTTCTGGAAGCTCGCTGCTAACTAGGGGTACAGGAGTCCCTGTGAGCCACAGAAGGGAATTTATGCTAGGTCTAAAGTTTTTTTTCTTGAGGTGAAACTATATAATGTAACATTAACCATTTTAAGATGTACAATTCAGTGGCATTGAGTCTATTCAGAGTGTTGTGCAACCATCATGTTTATTTCCAAAACATTTTCATCACCCCAAATTGGAAACCCTGTACCCATTAAACAGTCACTCCCATATCCTCTTTCCCCAGGCCTTGGCAACCACTCATCTACATTCTGTATCTATGAACTTTCCTATTCGGGACATTTCATATAAATGGAATCGTACACTATCTGATCTTTGGAGACTGGCTTCTTTTTTTTTTTAATGGAGGTTATTTTGGGGGGGTTGCTGCAATGCATGGCACGTGGGATCATTAGTTCCCCAAACAGGGATGTAACCTTCACCCCCTGCACTGGGAGCACAGAATCTTAAACACTGGGCCACCAGGGAAATCCCTGGGACTGACTTCTTTCACTTAGCATTGTGTTTTCACGGCTCATCCCTGTTGTAGCTTCTGTCAGTACTTGTGTTCACCTATGGCTGAAGAGTATCTATTTTATGGATCTACTACCATTTGTTTATCCATGCATCTGTCCTTACTCATGTTGTCCATGAACTCAGGCCCTCTAGCGCTGTTAAGAACACGTGGTTCATGAAGCTTTATTTTGCAGGTGAGGAAACAACCAAATACACTCATGCACACATTCAGTGGAGGAAAACCACTATAGAAATGCAGGGTGCACCATAATCCACGCTAATGAAAGGGAGTATGAGGACAACAAATTAGAAGGCAGGGTAATGACACAGTTTCTTTCCACATTACTCAGAGCCTTTGTAAGTCTCAATGCTCTCTATCATAAATGACATTTATTGTGTATAAAGTTACATAAAGTCATTTCCTTGTTGCGGGAAACATAGACGAGTAGAAAGAAGAAAATAATCACTTATACTCTCACCATCGTTTTGCTGTATTTCCAATAATTTTTCTTGTAGATGCCACATATCTACCCATATGAGATCCAAATTTCTATTTATGTATATTATATAAAATATATAAAGTATTTAAAATATTTACATATTATAGAAAATACTTTTATATAAAATATTTATATACTATATAAATATATAAATGTATGATATGTACATAACTATTTTTTATGTATAATTATGAATACATGGGTTACGTTACAAGTTTGTAATTTGTTAAATTTTTTAATATATTTTTTAAAAATTGTATTTGCACATAGCAAAAAAAAGTGTGTGTTGAGGATTGGGGATGAATAAGTCTCTCTCTTCCTGTTATGCCCTCCAGGGATCAGCAGTGTCCAGTAGAACTTTCTGTGATGATGGAGATGTTCTCTTGTGTGTGGTCTACTTCAGTGGCCACCTCCTACGTGTGATTACTAGGAAATGTAGGTAGTGTGATGGAGGAACTAAATTTGTAATTAATTTAAATCAAATAGCCACATGTGGCTAGTGAGAAATGCAAATCTCTTCAGAGACTTACACCCAGCAGGGGAAACCCGACTTCTGTCAGGCACTGACTTGTGCTAGGATCTATTTCAAGATACACTAACTGGAGTTGCTGTTTCTCTGATACCCTGGTTCTGTAATCCTTAGAGTCAGCCCAGTGGCTCATCTTAGTCTGTGATTAAGGCCATGTTCTCTGGTATTTTGCAGCTCCCCCTCCGTCAGCCCCCCAGTGCTGGGCAGAGGTGTCACCAGGATTGTTCTCACTGCAGCTCAACTGTCGCTGGGCGGGGGGATACCCAGAGCCGGACTTCCTGTGGACAGAAGAGCCAGGAGGTGTGGTCGTGGGGACATCGAAGCTGGGGGTGGAGATGCTGAGCCAGTCCCAGCTGTCAGATGGCAAGAAGTTCAAGTGTGTCGGGAGCCACATAGTGGGGCCGGAGTTGGGAGCCAGCTGTGTGGTACAGATCAGTGAGTCTGCCTTGCCTTGACCTGGGGTTGGGGTCCACTCACCTTCCTGTCTTCTGGGACAACCCTTTGAAAGAGGGTCTGGGAAAGAGATCCCGGGGTGTTGGAGTAGACTGAATTCCTTTCATATCTTCCTCCCATTTTCTTTTTTTAAAAAATCAAAGTATTATTAATTAATAATTATTTATTAACAAAATCAATCATTAATTTAAATTAATTTATTAAAATTAATTTTAAAAATTGACATATAGTTGACTTACAATATTGTGTTACTTTTGCTGGGTAGCAGAGTGATTCACACATACACACATATACATATACATATATACATATTCTTTTTAATATTCTTTTCCAATGTAGTTTATCACAGAATATTTATTTATTTGGCTGTGCCAGGTCTTAGCTGTGGCACACAGGATCTTTAATCTTCAATGTGGGCATGTGGGATCTAGTTCCCTGACCAGAGATAGAACCTAGGTCCCCTGCATTGGGAGTGTGGAGTCAGCTCCTGGACCACCAGGGAAGTCCCTATCACAGGATATTGAATATAGTTTCCTGTGCCATACAGTAGGATCTTGTTTATCCATTCTGTATATGCTGGTTTGCATCTGCTAACTCCAAACTCCCACTCCATTCCTTCCCTATGCCCTTCCTTTTGCTTTATGCTTCCTTCCTTTCGAACTTTAAAGATGCATAATGAAACTTCTTGGTTCTAGTCCAAACTGGTTTTCTCTTGACAAATAATAACTGAGCACATACTACATGCCAGGCACAAGTTTCTAAGTACTGAAGATGGAGCCGTGAACAAAAGAGACAAGGTTCATTAGTCTGTTGACAAATGACAAAGGTTCAATTTGTCCACGGAACAAATTATCCCTAAACTTAGTGCCTTCAAACAACAATCATTATCTCATGATTTCTGTGGACCAGGAATTCATACAGGGCAAGGTGCTGACACCTTGATTTAGGACTTCAGACTTTCTGAACTGTGAGAAAAAATTTCTGTTGTTTTAAACCACCCAGTTTGTGGTTCTTTGTTACAGCAGCCTCAGGAGACCAATNGCGGTGTTTTTTTTTTTTTTAGTATATTCACAGTGTTGTACTACCATCATCATTCTAATCCAGAACATTTCCATCACCCCAAAAGAAACCCTGTACCTACTGGCAGTCACTCTCTCTAGAAAGACCATGCGAGGATATTTATTTCCCAGTATCTCCACCAACATTGAGTCTTATTAATTTAAAAAAATTTTTCCTGTTTGTTAGTTGGGACATGGCTAATTGTTTTAATCTGGGTTTCTTTGATCACTGGTGGGGTTGATAATTTTCATACACTTATTGGCTTCCTATATATTATCTGTGAATTATCTGTTCATATCCTGTCCATTCTTTTTTATTGGCTTCTTTGTCATTTCTTGTTATTTCACAAGAGTCACTTAATTTCATTGAACTGTCATGCACATTATAGATATTATTCTGGCATATCTTGTTCCTAAACCATATTTGTGACATTTCTGCTGGTGATGAGCAATTTCTGATTTTGAAAGGGTCGCCTCTGTCAGTCCTGTTTTAGGTTTCTGTGCTCAAAAGGTCTTTGTATCTTACTTGTTAACTTATTATCTGTAATCCTCATAGTAGCCTGCAAATTAGGATGATTCGTAACTTGTAGATGATAACATGTATGAACTAACTTACCCAGGATCAGCCACCTCTTAAGTGATGGAGCAGCACTTAGCTAGGCTGGTCTGACGCCAGGGCCCTTGCTTTTATCCAGGTGACCTCTTTCCACACTTGATCTGGCAAATCTTTTCTTCGTGTGGGATTTAGGTACTCAGCATGGTGCCAAGTGGGGTTCGCAGGTGGCTAGTGATAAAGAACCAGCCTGCCAGTGCAGGAGACATAAGAGATGTGGGTTCGATCCTTGGGTCAGGAAGATCCCTTGGAAGAGGGCATGGCAACCCACTCCAGTATTATTGTATGGAGAATACTATGGACAAAGGAGCCTGACAGGCTACATAGTGTTGCAAAAAGTCAGACAAGACTGAAGTCAGACACAGATGCATGTATGGTGCCAGGTGCTATGAAGGAATACAGAGTCCTTCCCTTTAAAAGACTTAAACTTGGAGAGAGAAGTCTGGCAAGCTTAAACCAGAAAATGGCAATATCACAATACAGCTGATCCTTGAACAGCATGGGCAGGTTTGAACTGTGAGGTTCCACTTACATGTGGATTTTTTTCCCCCAATAAATATAGTACCTATATTTTCATTTTATAGATCTTTAACTCAGAGTCGGGGAAAGTTTGTGTCTGATTAGAAAGCTAAGATGTGGAATCAAAAGAACTAGGGTTTGAGTCCTGATGCTATCCAAAACTATTTCAGCTTCCTATCCTTGGGTGAGTCATTTTCTTTGTGTTTGAGGCAGAGATAGCAGGACATGGATCTTAGATTCCACACAGACTGGCCCCCCAACCCCCATGTTGTTGTAGGGTCAACTGTAGTAGAGACAGTAATGTTTTATTGAGTGCAGACCCTGTGCAGGTGCCGAGTATTTTGCACACAGCATCTCGTTCAGTCCTCAATCAGCTGGTGAGCTGAGCCCTTGCAGTATTATCCCCCAGAATCAGTTTCCTGGAGTTGCAGTACCACAAACTTGGTGGTGGCTTAAAACAACAGCTGTTTATCCTCTCTCAGTTTTGGAAGCTAGAGGTTTGAAATCAAGGTGTTGGCAGGGCCGTGCTCCCATCAAAGCCTTCATGGCAGAATCCCTCATAGCCTCTTCCACTTCCTGATGGCTCTGATGTGTTCCTGCGGCTCCATCACTCTGGTGCCTGCGTCTGTCTTCATGTGGCCTTCCTCTCTGTGGGTGTGTCTCCCTGTGCCTTCCCCTCTTCATTTTTCTTTTTTTGCTACATGGCACGTGTGATCTTAGTTGCCTTACCAGGGATCTAACCTGCGCTCCCTGCAGTGAAAGCATGGAGTCTTTAACGACTGGAGCACCAGGGAAGTCCCTCTCCTCTTCTTATAAGGTACCAGTCCTTGGATTTTGGGTCCACCCTCAATCTGGGATGATTTCATCTTGAGATCCTTAACTAGTTACCTCTGCAAAGACTCCATTTCTAAGTAAGACCACATTCTGGGCTTCAAGATGAACACAAATTTTGGGAGGACACTCCATTTTACAGAAGGTGAAACAGAGGGAGCTGACTTGCCCAGACTCATGCAACTAGAAAGCAGTAGACACACTCAGGGTGGTACATAATGGGGAAATGCCCAAAGTGTGTTGTGGACCGTAAGTCCCGGGAAGTGAATGAATGATGGACTAATGCTGAGAGAGGGTGAAATTGGCAGAGGCAGCTGGCGAGGTTTGTTATTTTGCCCTCACCCTCTCATTTTATTTGCACATCTTACCTAAGTCATTATTCCTGTGGCCCCTGAGACTTGATCCGTAATCTGAATCTAAATATGTGCTCAGGGCTAAGAAATGTGTCTGGAAACGGGAGCTGACCGGAAGTTTTCCCAATTCCAGGAGCACAGGAAACAGGCACAGAGCCAGGACCCTTCTCAACTCTGATACCATCCAGTTCTCCCTGCCTCCCTCGTGGGCACCTGACCCTGGATGTGCATGCTGGTGACCTGAGGGGCTGGTTAAAATGCAGATTCTGACTCTCTGGGTCTGGGTGGATCCAAGACTGCATTTTCAACTGGCTCCCAGGAAGTGCTGATCCTGCTGGTCTGAGGACCACACCTTGAGTAGCAATGCCTTGGGGTTGAGGGGCTCTGGATCATTCCACGTAGAAGGACTAGTGCTCATTGAAGGGCAATACTAACATCCACCCAGGGATGCAGGGCAGCATAGCCCCCAAGCTGATGAAAAGCAATGCTTTCAGGGATTCCTGCTGCCCAGATCTCTCTTTATTTTTCTCTTCCTTTTTTTTTGGTTTGCTGCATGGCTTGCAGTATCTTAGTTCTCCAACCAGGGATTGAACCTGGCCACAGCAGTGAAAGCGCTGACTCCTAAGCACTGAACTACCGGAGAACTCCCCAGATCCCTCTTTATTATGGCGTGTTTTGTTCAGTTCAGTCAGTCATGTCAGACTCTGCGGCCCCATGGACTGCAGCATGCTAGGCTTCCCTGTCCTTTACCATATTATATGGCATGTAGGACCCCTAAAACTGAAGAAACCAACTCAACTCATGACAAGCTGCAGTATTGTGGAGCCCCATGTGTGAGGGCCCTAGCATGCTGTCCATCTCCTGCAGATCTGTGAGGCTCCGCAGCACCAACCTACCCCTGCCCCACCCTTGCATGCAGCATCCTCTTAAGTGAAACTCTGAATTTATAAGTGCCACCCGAGCTGGCTGGTGACATAGCTTTTTGAGGGGTGAATGCTGTGTTTGGCGAAAGTACATACCTTTGGGTTGCAGGGGAGGTGTACTGGGGGACTGTTTGTTTTGCCTTTAATAAAGGAAGAAGGGGCCATTTCTCAAACTTTGGTTTGGGACCCTGAAATACAAACGTACTGATGAGGCTTGTCACTGCTGCCGGCTTTGTGACCCCAAAGGAAATTCTGGTTAACCACAAGCAGGGAAGGAGCAATTTAGCAACAACATGGGGGGAATCTGATAGTTGATTCAAGAAGCGGTGTTCGCAGGTGATTTTTCTGAGCAAAATCAGGTTTGGGCAATTCTCCTCTGTTGACCCGACCTAGAGAGAGGTTGTTCCACCCCCAACCTTTTCCCCCTTCCCTCTTCCTTCTTCCCTGGACGCCAGCAGTGAAACCCTAGATTCTCTCTTGGAACAACTGCCAAGGGGAAGCGTGTAGTTTCACTCTCCCGGGCAGGAACCCAACAAGCCGCTCTCTATCCCTCAGCTGCTGAAAATTCGGATTTAATAAATCCTCCCAAGATGAATTTACTACCCTTCCCAAGAGGATGTGTATTAGGGGAAAGGCTTCCTGTGTGAAGGATACAGACTGATCCTCATGGTAGATCTCATGGCTCCCCTTCTCCTCCTTAAATTAGACCCCAAGGCCACAGGGATGCAGTCTTTCTAGGACAGACGTGTGGTAGACAGAAGGATGGCCCCCCAAAGATATCCACATCCTAATCCCCAGAGCCTGTGAATTTGTTTCCTTACATGGTAAAGGGACCTTGCATCCGTGATCAAGGATATTGAGATGGGGAGGTTGTCCAGGATTCTCTGGTTGGGCCCAGTGTGATCCCGAGGGCCCTCATCAGAGGGAGGCAGGAGGGTCAGTGTGGTAGTGAGTTGTGATGACAGATGCAAGCAGTAGGAGTATGCATCCTCTTAAGTGAAACTCTGAATTTATAAGTGCCACCCGAGCTGGCTGGTGACATAGCTTTTTGAGGGGTGAATGCTGTGTTTGGCGAAAGTACATACCTTTGGGTTGCAGGGGAGGTGTACTGGGGGACTGTTTGTTTTGCCTTTAATAAAGGAAGAAGGGGCCATTTCTCAAACTTTGGTTTGGGACCCTGAAATACAAACGTACTGATGAGGCTTGTCACTGCTGCCGGCTTTGTGACCCCAAAGGAAATTCTGGTTAACCACAAGCAGGGAAGGAGCAATTTAGCAACAACATGGGGGGAATCTGATAGTTGATTCAAGAAGCGGTGTTCGCAGGTGATTTTTCTGAGCAAAATCAGGTTTGGGCAATTCTCCTCTGTTGACCCGACCTAGAGAGAGGTTGTTCCACCCCCAACCTTTTCCCCCTTCCCTCTTCCTTCTTCCCTGGACGCCAGCAGTGAAACCCTAGATTCTCTCTTGGAACAACTGCCAAGGGGAAGCGTGTAGTTTCACTCTCCCGGGCAGGAACCCAACAAGCCGCTCTCTGTCCCTCAGCTGCTGAAAATTCGGATTTAATAAATCCTCCCAAGATGAATTTACTACCCTTCCCAAGAGGATGTGTATTAGGGGAAAGGCTTCCTGTGTGAAGGATACAGACTGATCCTCATGGTAGATCTCATGGCTCCCCTTCTCCTCCTTAAATTAGACCCCAAGGCCACAGGGATGCAGTCTTTCTAGGACAGACGTGTGGTAGACAGAAGGATGGCCCCCCAAAGATATCCACATCCTAATCCCCAGAGCCTGTGAATTTGTTTCCTTACATGGTAAAGGGACCTTGCATCCGTGATCAAGGATATTGAGATGGGGAGGTTGTCCAGGATTCTCTGGTTGGGCCCAGTGTGATCCCGAGGGCCCTCATCAGAGGGAGGCAGGAGGGTCAGTGTGGTAGTGAGTTGTGATGACAGATGCAAGCAGTAGGAGTAGTTCATGGAAGGGGTCATGAGCCAAACAATGCAGGTGGCTCCTTTCTAGAAGCCGAGAAAAAAGGAAATGGATTCTCTCCTTGAGTCTCCGGAAGGAACCAGCTCTGCCAACACCTTGACTTTAGTTCTGTGAGATTAGTTTAGATGCCTGACCTCCAGAACTATAAAACTATGAAGGGATTAATTTGTATTGTTTTAAGCTGTTAAGTCTGTGCAATTTGTTACAACAACAACAGGAAACTAATACAGGTGCCCTCCTGTCCCCTGAACACCCTTGTCAGGGTGTGTGCCCGTATTTTATCTGATCAGTGTGGTTATTACACACAGAAGCCTAGAACATAGGAAGTAAGGAGATGTGGACCACAAAAGCCTGACTTCTTGGGTTCCATTCTTACACAGACCAGTTCATCCTGGTTTGCCTAGGACTTCCCAAGCATTGAAAGCCCCCAGGTGCTAGGGATCCCCTCAGTCTTGGGCAACCCAGGACAGTTGGTCCCCCTAAATTCTAGTTGCTCACTTCCTTAGTTGTGTGACTTTAAGTTACTTGACTTTCTCTGTTCCTCTGTTTCCCCATCTGCAAAATGGGGATAACAAGATTATTGTTGAGAACTAGTTGGGTTGATATATATGGTGCCTGCTGCTGCTAAGTCATTTCAGTTGTGTCTGACTCTGTGGGACCCCATAGATGGCAGCCCACCAGGCTCCCCCGTCCCTGGGATTCTCCAGGCAAGAACACTGGAGTGGGTTGCCATTTCCTTCTCCAATGCGTGAAAAGTGAAAGTGAAGTCGCTCAGTCGTGTCTGACTCTTAGCGATAGTGCCTAGTCCATAGTAAATGCTCAACAAATATTATCTTTTATTATTTTATGAGACCAGGTGTGGTACAGATATTCCTGGAGTTGCTTTGTTCCAAAACAAGTAACATTCTTGAAATTCTCAGGTCACCATTTGAATCTCCTTAAATGTTTATTTTTCTTTACCTTCTTCTGATGGTCAGGGAGCCCCTCCCTTCTCTCTGAGCCCATGAAGACTTGCTTCGTGGGGGGCAATGTGACGCTTACCTGCCAGGTGTCTGGAGCCTACCCCCCTGCCAAGATCCTGTGGCTGAGGAACCTCACCCAGCCTGAGGTGGTCATCCAGCCCAGCAGCCACCACCTCATCACCCAGAGTGGCCAGAGCTCCACCCTCACTATTCGCAACTGCTCCCAGGACCGGGACGAGGGCTACTACGTCTGCCGGGCTGAGAACGCCGTGGGGGTGAGGGAGGTGGACGTCTGGCTGAGCGTGAAAGGTGAGTGATGGACGTGACCCTGAAGGAGCAGAGCTTCAGAGGACAGCATGGGGACAGCTTGTTGCTTCCCTCATGTGTCACTGCCGTCAGGGAGGGGGCATATCTGCTTACCGGTGGCTTGACAAGAGGGATGGGAAATTACTGTCCAGTCCTAAATCTCCAACTGTTGTATCAAGATAAAAAATTTATTTCTTCCCAACCCAGGGATTGAACCCGGGTCTTCTGCATTGCAGGTAGATTCTTTACTACCTGAGCCACTAGGGAAGATACAAAAGTTATTTAATATCAGTTACATTCTAAAGGAAAAAAAAATTTAATTTTTATTTTTTATTTGGCTCCACTGAGTCTTAGTTGCAGCTGGATGTGAGATCCAGTTTCCTGACCAGGGATTGAACCCAGGCCCCCTGTATCGGGAGCATGGAGGCTTAGCCACTGTCCCACCAGGGAAATCCTGGGACATACTTATTCTAAAAAAATTATTCATTGTTTATCTGAAATCCAAATTTAAGTGGGCATACTATATTCTATCTGGCAACCCTACCTGTAGGCCTGTTTTCAGTCTCATCCTGGGCCTTCTGAAAAAGGTAACTCCTGAGTTTCATGTTTTATTTAAGAAAAATTTTGCTGCATATGTACACATTTCTAGATAATATATTGTTTAGCTTTTGTTTTAGAGTTTTGAAAAGAATTTGTTGTTATCATACAAATGTAGTCTTTTTGTGACTTGCTATTTTTGCTCCACATTTTGTTTTCCAGGATTTATTCATGCTGACATGTGTAATTTTATTTCATGTCTCTTCATGGCTGCATAATTTTCCACTGGAGCACTATTGCACAACTAAATAGTTGATTTTCCTGCTGATGGACATTTGAGTTGTTCTGATTTGTTGTTGTTGTGATGAACAGTGTTGCTGTGAAAGTCTTTTACCCAGCCCCCTGTGCACATATACTCAGGTCTCCAGGCAAATATGTCTCCAGCATATCTGTACCAAGAAGTAGAAGTGAAGGGTTATAAGTTATGTGCATTTTTATCTTTATGAGGTAATACCAAATTATTTTCCAAAGTGGTTATACCAATTTCCATTTGAAATGGCAGTTGTCCCAGATTTTCAACCACAGATTTTGTGATTTTTGCTCATCAAGTAAGTGCAAAATGAAATCTCACTGTGGTTCTAATTTGAATTTCTTTGATTACTAAGAAGGCTGAGCATTATTTCATATGCTTATTTGCTATTTAGGTTTCTTCTATGAAATATATAATTGTGCTTTTTTAAAAATAGTTTTAGTTTATTTAAAAATTAAAAATTTTTTTTCTTGGAGAAGGAAATGGCAACCCACTCCAGTATTCTTGCCTGGAAAATCCCATGGACAGAGGAGCCTGGCGGGCTATAGTCCATGGGGTCTCAAAAGAGTTGGACACGACTTAGCCACTAAACAACAACCATCTATCCATAGTCCATCCATAGTTAGAGGTAATTTGTGTTACTCTTTTGGAGTGATGATAAATAACCTGTTTGTTAACATGTGAATTCAAAGCACTAACTGATTTGCTCTTGGAGCATCTGAAGCTTCCAGAGGAATTCTCAGGTTTCTCTAGGAAGAGGCATAATATATGAATCTGGAATGACAACAGCCAAGTCAAGAAGTCCCCCAAGGGCCAAGGTCAGAGGGGTCAGAACCACGAGAGGGTGATCCTTGAGCAGATGCCCAGGATGGAGACAGAGCCAAAGGGTGGACAGCACCCCTTCCCCAGCTGTGGCCACTGCAGGAAGGTTCCTGAGAGTCACAGGTCCACTAGCCTCCTCCCCATCCAAATGACTGCTTTTCAACTGCTTTCTATGAGAACAGTCTTAAATGGAGTCTCTGTTTCATAAATGATGGAACTCTGTAAAAAAAAAAAAAAAAAGTTTTTTTTTCTTTTGGTCACATCACGTGGCCTTCTGGATCTTCCCCAACCAGGGATTGAATTCAGGCCTGGAAGTGACTTGGCAGCAGCAGCAGCTGGAATCCTAACCACTGGGCTACCAAGGAACTCCCCATAATTGTCTCTTTTGATGTTTTCCTCTTTCTTATAGATATATAGGAGTTCTTCGGAAATTCCACACACTAATTCCTTGTTTTACATGTTACAAATATCTTTCAGTTAGTCCTTCTTGCTTTCTTTATGGTATCCTTTGATTTGCAGAGGTTCTTTAATGTGGTTGATTTTATGAATATTTTCTTGTATCAGTAGCATTTCTGTGTCTTAAGAAATCCTTATCTATCCTATGGCCATGAAGGCATTCTTCTATATTGTCTTCTTAATGTTTTATTGCTTGCCTTTCACAGTTAACTCTGTAGCCCATCTCCAGTTGACTTTGGTGAATGGAGGAAGTAGACATCAAGTTTCCTCCACCCCCAGTTTGGATAACCATTTGGTCTAGCACCACTTTCTGAAGAGTTCCTTTTTTACTCACTAGTCTATCCTATATCAAGTTTCCTTTTGTTCATAGACCTGTTCTTATCGAACCCATGCCCTATAGAGTAGAAGCCCACTGTCTTAACCACTAGACCACCAGAGAAGTCCCTTCCTATTCTGTTCTGTTGATCATGTCATTGCAGCACCAGTAATTCACACTCCTAATTACTGTAGCCTTAACAACAGTCTTGATATATGAAGACACAGAGATTTTAACTTTCCAACATTCTTTTGCATCACATACTTCATTTGATTCCCACAAACTGTCTGAAGTAGGAGAATGAGATATTTGTCTTGCTCTACAGAGAGGTCATGAGACTTCCCTATAGCTCAAATGGTAAAGAATCTGCCTGCAAAGCAGGAGACCAGGGTTCGATCCCTGGGTTGGGAAGTTCCTCTGGTGAAGGGAATGGCAATCCACTCCAGGATTCTTACCTGGAGAATTCCTTGTATAGAGAAGCCTGGTGGGATACAGTCCATGGGGTTGCAAAGAGTCGGACAGGACTGAGTGACTAACACAGTCCACAGAGAGGTCATATGCCTCACCCAAGGTCATGAAACCAAGACAAGAGTAGGATCCAGGCAGGGGAGGAGAGGTGTTGCACTCCTAGCTGAGTGTGTTTCACGTGGATGAGTGAAGGGTGTGGTGTGTCTTTGCAGAACCTTTAAACATCGGGGGAATTGTGGCCACCGTCGTGAGCCTCCTTCTGCTGGGACTGGCCATTATCGCCGGGCTCCTGTTGTATTACAGCCCCGTGTTCTGCTGGAATGGTAAGGACTTCCCAGAATGGTAAGGACTTCCTGGGCCCCTTTGTTTCTCTTGCAGGCTTCCTGAGAGGGTACGGGTGGGGGAAGATGGTCCCTGTTATGCTCCCACCTGAAGCTCCATTCTGTAGGCTTCCAAACTGGGTCCAGATTTGCAATAATGAAGCACCCAAGTACCCTTCCTGAGCGCCCTGTCATCATTGGGTCAGTTTTCTCATTGCCCATCCTTTTGTAACTGTTAGCTGGCTTAGAAACTTCTGTGAGGCCAAAGTGGATCTTATTGGATATTAATGTTTTTTCCTTTCTCCTTTCAGTAGGAAGCACTTTAAGGTGAGTGTCCCCTAGACGCAAATCAGAAACCCATTTCCATAATCTGTTTTCACTGATGTTTTGTTTATAACATTTCATAAGCGCAGTAGTAACCACTACCACTGGGGGCCCACCAGGGGCCAGACCTGGGGCTGGGGCTTCCTCAGGCATTATTAGAGACCCCATCACACACTCCTCAGGGTGCTGCTGGCATCGCCATTTTCCAGATAAGGCAAGGGAGGCTCACTGAAGTGAAGCAGTTTCTGCAAGCTCATCTAGGAAGTGATGGCCATGCCTGCAGTCAGACCCAGGTCTGATTGATTGCAAAGTCTGTGCTCCTTTTCAACACCAGACCTCAGGGTGAGGCACATTGCTGGTTTGTCCTTGAGGTATAAAGACAGCATGTATGTGTTGAGCTCAGTCATTCATGTATTTATTTAATTTTCTGCAAAGAGCTAAAAGGAAGAATAAGTTATAATCTTACAGCATGCTTTGGAAAACTAGTCTGTGCATGCCCAGAAGCCCCTCCCAAAAGGAGGGAACCTTAGTAGGGGAGAAACAACTAAATGGAACTTGACTTCCCAGGAGAGCCTGCACGGAAGCAAGGAACGCTTCTCTTCGCTCCTCTTATCTGCTTATAATTTGGGGTATTACTGTTCTGGGATGAATAATGAGATTTCATTGTTCTGGCACCATCTTTCATGGAAGAGTGTTACCTGTACTGCCCCATTTTTGATGGTCATTTTGGCATGAGTCTGTCCTTCCCCAGGCTTACTTCTCATAGAGGGAGCAGCTTGGCATAATGGGAAAAGGCTTTGGAATAAGTGGACCTGGGTTCACATGGCTGCTCTGCCCTTCCAGCCTGAGGATCCTGCAAAAGCCCTGACCCTCTCTGAGCCTTTTTTTCCTCAGCTGTTTCTCAGAGGCAGGATGTGAGGATTAAGTGAGAATGTCATGCTCACAGGATTGTGACTGGCCCATGAAATGTACAGTCTGGGTGGGGAGGCAGAACTAGCAATCATCTAGGGGACAATTCAGTGCCAAACAGCTGGCTGTGGATGCCAAACTCAGTCGCAGCTCAAGGCTGCAGGAGGAGGGAGGGGACTTTCCTAGGGCTTTGAATAATGAAAAGGAGGAGAAATTTCAGTAAGTAGAGGAGAAATAAGGGCATTTCAGGAAAGGAACAGAGCATCTGTGTACGTGCTGCGAGGGGAACTGAAATGGTGGGTGCTTGGGATCGTGAGGTCACCTGCCAGACGAACAGTGGGGAGACAGGAGGGAGGATGATAAAATTCACCCAGCACAAGGTGTGATTATCTAGACAGTCTGTGGCAGCACCTCTTTGAAAGGTCATCATCTCCATCTTACAACTCAACCACGTTGAGTCCATGAAGAATTGTCCATGTTACCAAAGGGGATGCAGAGAACTGAGTGTTCCTATTCAGTGAGGGCTGAAGTTGGAGAAAACAGGGTATCTTCGTGATCATTTCTTCCCTTTTGGAAATTAGGAGGCAAGACATGGGCGATGTCATGGTTTTGGTGGATTCGGAAGAGGAAGAGATGGAGGAGGAAGAAGACGCTGCAGAAGAGGAAGAGGAGGAAGCTAGTGAGAGGGAGGAGTCGCCAATAGAAATAACCAAGTATGGCCACATTCACAGAGTGACTGCGCTGGTGAACGGGAACGTGGACCAGATGGGCAATGGACTGGAGGCTCTGCAGGGTAAGCTCTTTGCCCTTTAAAGCACTCTGCAAGGTTGTGGTGGGCTTCCCAGGAAGAAGTCTCCAAGGGTCTGCTTTTTAAGGGCCGGGAAAGACAGTTAAAGTTTAATCTACAATCTGAGAATCTCCCATCAACTACAAACACAACAATTAAACTGACAAATACTTACTGAGAGCCAACTCTGGGAAAGACACAGATTGGTACTGTCAGGCACCAGAAAATCAAGACCAATGGTGATGGGCTTTACGAAAGCAGTTAGGATGAACAGACTAAAATATGAAGGGAAAATGAAAATAGAAGGAATATTTAACCAACGCTTTGCGAGGGTAGTAGAGTTGTGGCACGAAAGAATGATTACTTGCCTGATGAATGATACTTTTACAAATTACAGGACCTCAGGAGAAAGATGAGAGCCTAGAGGGATGCATTGGTTGGGAGACATTTTGTAAAAGATGTGGGCTATGAGGCATGTCTTTCAGGACAGTTGAGTTTGAACAAGCAGAAAGCAGAGGGTGGTCCAGGTGAGGGGAATGTCAGGAGCTAAGAAATGTGGACAGTGTCAAGCATGTCAGTGGATTCTGAGTAGAAAGAATGGGTGCAAGGCAGGGAAACCCACCCTACTCCAACTGCTCATTCATGAAACTCACCAGTAAAGGACTGGAAATCAAGGTGACTGAAAACTGATGGGAGGGACTTCCCTGGTGGTCCAGTGGTTAAGACTTCCATTGAAAGGGGCACGGGTTCAATCCCTGGTCAGGGAACTAAGACCCTATAAGCTGAGCAGCCCCCACTTCCTGAAAAAGAAAACTGAAGGGAGAAACAGAGTCATCTCTACTGAGAGCACCGCTCAGAGTTGGGTCTACTTTTCCCTCTCGTACAGATGACAGCAGTGAGCAGCAGAGTGACATCATTCAAGAAGAAGACAGGCCAGTGTGAAGAAGACAACTGTCCTTTGATATCTCGTCTCAAAAGCTTGGAAAGCTGTGTTCAAGATGAATTTCATATTCTGCTTTACTTGATTTGCACCCCTGCCTGAGGGCTGCAAAGGGTTTGGAGGTTCTCAGCAAAATAGGAAAACACATACATCTTTCCTACCCCCCCTCTTTTTTTTTTCTAAATTGGTTTGATTTACTGTAACTTTTCTCAGTGATGGTGAAAAGCTTTTGGGAATGGGTAGTGTATGTGGGGAAAGCTCCATTTGGGCTTTCTCCAGGTTGACTGATGCTGAGATGGGGAGCAGGAGTGGGGGGAGGCAGTAGGCCTCGCTGTCCTTTGTCACTATTAAAGGTCTGTAACTAGCCCGTCCTAGTACAGAAGGTAACAGTATGGGGTGATAAGGACATTTCCTTTCTCACTGCCTAGGTGAGCTGAGGAACCAGGTGAACATCAGCTCTCTGGAAAGGTGAAGAGGTGCCAGCTACTGCTGTTAATCAGAGGGAGGCAGTTTGCTTTGGGATTTGAGTTCCAAACACCCAGGCTTCAATCTGGACCCGGCTCCTTGCCTGTTTCATGGGTTTGGGCAGGTAGCTTTACCTTTTCCCTGAGCCTCAATTTCCTCACCTGTGAAATGGGTGAAATCACACTTACTTTACATCTCCTTTGCCTTCTCTAGTGGAAGAAAAAAAGATGTCAGCTGTTCAGTTACAAACTGCTGCCTGGGCCTTTCATTCTCTGTAGAATGGTTCCAGACCAGGGCATCATCAGAGCTCTCCTGTGGATTTTTGCTCTCCTAGAGATGAAATTCCTTTCAAAAGAGATAGGGAGCGATAAGAGGAAGTGCCTTTCACCAGAACCTCACATATGTCAGAGCTTCATATTTATAGAAAAGCCTCTTAGGTGATGCACTATTAACTTTGACTTTCCCACCCTTCCTTTCTCCTGTGGCTTTGAAAAAGGCAGGAGGAATGTTTTGTAACATAGTAGACCTGTGGCCTCAGTTTCTTCATCTCAGAAATGGGATTGGGAAAACATATTTCCTTCCTAAGGATGTTATGAGGATACGCTGCTCAATAATGCTAAGTTCTGAATGAAAATAACATGTGAGGAGTTGAAGCTGCTATTGTTTCCAGTAGATCCCTGTATAGAGTTTTTTTTTTTTCCCCTTTTCTTTCTGATTTCATCCTAATCTCTTAAAACGTCAGGGACTTTTTAAGGGTGTAAAATATGTGTGCTAAACTTGAAAATCTGACTTGAATTTGCACTCTTTAATACTGCATATTCTGCTCTAACAGGCAAGACTTAAAGGAGAACTTCCTCTCCGATAACAGGGCCTGGGACTTCTGAGAAGCTGGTTATCTGCAGGGTTACCTTGCAGGTGTGGTTGGGGCAGGTCAATTTTCTTGGATGAAGGAACTAAACTGAGGAAGTCACCAGAAGTGAGAGCCCTGTCCTCAGCTCAGAACACTGGGGAAGTCAGAGGCTGGTTGCAGTGTCCACGCCTCAGGAATTCCTGTGGCCTTGTTCTCTTGATGGGCTGGATCTTTTGCTGCATGGAACCTCACGTACTTAACCACTCTCACCAGTCTAAGTTAGTGTCATTTCAGAACGGGATCTTAAGACAGGCTGTGTTTAAAATCATTGAACACTGAGCTAGTCTTTGATGAATCCATTTCTGGATCTGACAGTCCATTGTGCAGGGGCAACCATATTTTACAAAGGAAAAGCAAAAAAAACTGTGGGGGGGGGGCGGCCGCGGGGCACAGAATTCCCTACCTGGAAGGCAGACAATGATTTGCAAGATGATGGAAATGCTCCCCGTGACTTCCTCTGACCTGATGATAGGAAATCTTCAAGAAAGGATTTTCCCCTTGCAAATAGGAGCTTCAGGGTCATGGTGCCAAACATGATAAACCCTTGTCCAGCTGAGCTGTGACTGCTGTCACGTGTATCTGAGCCCTGTGTGCACAGATAATATTGTTGGGTCAGTTGAGAGCTGAAGTACTGGGTTGGGGGGTGCGGTCTTCAAGCTTTAAGGATTTTTAAAGAATTAGGGCTTTTTTTCCTGTTCTTTTAAGATGACCCATCCCCAACTCCACTAGCACGTGGTCGACAGTGGGTTATAGACTTTTCTGTGGCAAAGTCCAACTCGTTACAGTGTGCTTTAAAAAAAAAAACAAAAAACTTACCTGAAGGAATTGTGAACTGGAGACCAGGAGATACACTTATCAGAACCTAGAAGATAAATACTTCTGGGCCATTGCAACTGACATTCCTTTTCTGCAAAACCTGGTGGACCTTGGGGAGGGGGGTCCCATAATCCTGTAGCTTTGATATCAGTTTCCATTCTCACAAGCACATACCTATACTCTTACTGCAGCAGGAAAACCCATGATGGAAAATCTCTCTCACCTAGGCACTGAAACCTGGAAAATCATCTTCTTTGGGTAAAATTTATTATGATGCAACATGTGCCAACTGGTATTTCTCACCATGGTCCTGGCCAGGAACTGCTGCAAAAAGAAACAGCTCTCTCTGCACTGCTTACATTTTAATATTTGGTATGGAGGTGGGGGGCTGGGAGAAATTCATCCTGATGTTAGAACATGGATTTGTTTTTTAAGATAATAGAATAAAGTTATTTTTAAATAAATGCTTAGTGATCTTCATTTAGACCTGATTAGTAAACTAAAAGATTTGGGGAAATGGGATTGCCATCCACAATTTTTTTTAACTTGCTTTCCCAATACTGATTACAATATTGTTCTTGCTGCTATTTTATTCTTATTCTATGACTTGTAGATGCTACCTACCCTTTCATGTCTCCATTGTGTTTGCATATCCTCAAATACATACCTCTTTTTTGGTCAGACTTCCTGTTTTCTCACATTAAAGGGTTAGGGTAGGAATCGTCATAGAGCAGTAGACTGATGGACGTCTGAAAAGACAGTTTCTGCAAGCTGTTGGGTCGCTGCAGTGGTTGGTGGTTTTGGAGGTTCTCACTGGGCTCAGCTAATAGTAGCCCCATACTTCTGCTTCACTGACTACGCTAAAGCCTTTGACTGAATGGTAACAGACTGAAAAACTCTGAAAGATATGGAAATACCAGACCACCTTACCTGCCTCCTGAGAAACCTGTATGCAGGTCAAGAAGCAACAGTCAGAACTGAAGATGGACCAATGGATTGGCTCAAAATTGGGAAAGGAGTATATCAAGGCTGTATATTGTCACCCTGCTTATTTTAACTTATAGGCAGAGTATATCATGCGAAATGCCAGGCTGGATAAAGCTCAAGCTGGAATCAAGATTGCTGTGAGACATATCAATAACCTCAGATATGCAGATGACACCATGTTAATGGCAGAAAGTCAAGAGGAACTGAAGAGCCTCTTGATGAAGATGAAACAGGAGAATGAAAAAGCTGGCTTAAAACTCAGCATTCAAAAAGCTAAGTTCATGGCATCTGGTCCCATCACTTCATGACTAATAGATGGGGAGAAAAATGAAAACAGTGAGAGATTTTATTTTTTTGGGCTCCAAAATCACTGCAGATGGTGACTGCAGCCATGAAATTAAGACATCTGCTCCTTGGAAGGAAAGCTATGACAAAACTAGACAGCATATTAAAAAGCAGAGGCATCACTTTGCCAACAAAGGTCTGCATAGTCAAGGCTATGGTTTTTCCAGTAGTCATGTATGGATGTGAGAGTTGGACCATAAAGAAGGCTGAATGCCAAAGAACTGGTGCTTTCAAACTGTGCTGGACAAGACCCTTGAGAGTCCCTTGGACAGCAAGGAGATCAAACCAGTCAATCCTAAAGGAAATCAGTCCTGAATATCCATTGGAAGGACTGATTTTGAAGCTGAAGCTCCAATACTTTGGCCACCTGATGGGAAGAACTGACTCATTGGAAAAGACCGTGATGCTGGGAAAGATTCAGGGCAGGAGGAGAAGGGGGCAACAGAGAATGAGATGGTTGGATCGCATCACAGACTCAATGGATATGAGTTTGAGCAAACTGTGAGAGACAGTGAAGGACAGGGAAGCCTGGCATGCTTCCCATGGGGTGGCACAGAGTCAGACAAGACTGAATGACTGAACAGAAACAGTACTGAAGTCTCACCTCAACTCCCACTTGAGGAGGCCCAACTCTACTCCCTATCCCTGTTAGAGGCTTTTTTCTTGGGTCATTGTCTCTCCTGTGTTTCTTTACCTTACTCCAAGCTTCCTGAACTCTAATCAAAACTGTCCCATTTTCAAGTTCCTTACCTTCTAACCAAATCCATGTTTCCTACTGTCACCTGTTTCCCACGTTCATTTTAATCGAGTCTCTCCATGTGCTGGGGCTTCCCTTGTGGCTCAGCTGGTAAAGAATCCGCCTGCAATGCGGGAGACCACGGTTCGATCCCTGGGTTGGGAAGATCCCCTGGAGACAGGAAAGGCTACCCACTCCAGTATTCTGGCCTGGTGAATTCCATGGACTGTGTCCATGGGGTCCCCAAAAGTCGGACACGACTGAGCGACTTTCACTCCATGTTGTGTGTGTGTTTATTACCAGCTTGTTTTTCCAGCCCTTCATTTTACCTCTGCCTGCTTTCACTTCTGTTCCGTTTCCTGGGTCACACTCAAGTTCATCTGGCTGGTCCACTTTTGGAACCCCACTCTTTTTAACTCCTCTTTTTCTCTTGCCCTCTTCCCCTTATAACCACAGCATTTTCGTTTTCATCCTCCATTTTCCAATGGGCTTTCTTTTTCCGGTTCCCATTTTTTTATAACAAGACTCCTTCCTCTGACCCCGCACTCAGCCCCTGGACTCCTCTACCGTGGCTCCCATTTAACCTCTGAGCTTCCTGCTGCCTCAGGTCCCCAGTTTTATTCCTCTCATTTCTTCCCTCTCTCCGGGGTTCCCAGACCCTCAACCTCCCACCCCAATTCTTTCCTCAGTCTTCGCTTTTTGTCTTCCCAATACTGATTCCTTGGGTCTTCAGGTTCACCTTCCAAACTGACTCCCGCCCCCCACCCCACTCCGATTTTCACCCTGCCCCATCTCCCCGTTTTCCCCTCAGCTCCACCGCATTCCTTTTTAACCCACACCTCCTCCCTCCATCTCCGGTCCTTATCTGGCCCTTATGGTCCTCCCGACTCCGTTGGACCCATCTCTCCCCCAACCCGGATTTCTACCCCAGCACCGCCATCCCCGCCCCCGCTTTTCCACCCGAGCCCGGCTCCAGCTTTACCACAAGCGTTCTCTCTGCCCCTGGGTTCTCCCACCCCCGTGCCCTCGCCGGCCCCGGTTTCCTTTCAGCCCAGCTCCCCGAATACCCCGCCACCGCCCCCTTTTTATCCTGCGAGCCTCACCTGCCCGCCTCCCACGCCGGTTTTCCCCTCAGTACCACCCTCGTCCCGGGATTACTTCCTGCCGCACCGACCCCCGTCTTCCTCCGAGCCCCATCCCCACCCCTGGGTTTTACGCCGCCTCGCCCCCACTTTGCCCTGGACCAGGCTCCTCCAAACCTCAGGTTCTTCTGCCCGCCACCCTCCCCATCTCCTTATCAGCCCCGTTGCCCCTCCATCCGCGCTTGATCCTGCCTGAGGCCACCTGCCCCAACATCCCCGACTCCCCCTCAGGCCTCGCCTCCCCCCGGCCCCCAGGGTCCACCTGCCCGCCCCGCGTCGCCCGCAGCCCGGCTCCCGGCTTCTCCCCTGCGCGCCCCGGCCTGGCCGGGAACGGTTCGCGGGGGTGGGGTGGCAGGGGGCACCGGGCCTGGGACGTCTGCGTCGGCCGGCGGCGAGGTGCACGCCCGGCTCCCAGCTTTGTTTCACTTTCGCTGTCAACGGCCCCCACCCCGTCTCCAGCCTCTCCCGTCTCCCGGCCGGACCCGGGGACTACGGGCCTCTGCGCAGCGGGGATCCCCACCCCCGGGACAGTGGGGGGCGCCTGGGGCCGGACGCCACCGCCCGGTTGGGACGGCGGGGACGCCAGGCCCACGGAGCGGTGGGTGTTTTGATTCCCGAGAGGGGGTGGGTGCCCAGGTGTCAGGTGACGCACTCGAGGTCTCGGTGGGAGTCCGCTCTGCCCCATAGAAGCTATGTGATCGTGGACGATCCACTTAACACAAGTCTCTTTTGTATCTGCAGAATGGGCTAATAATAGTATCTGCCTTAACTGGCTGTTGGGAGCTTCTCAAACTTGACTGCGCATGAAAATCGGGTCTAGAATTTCATTTGAAAACCCATATTGCCAGCCTGGTGACATAGATGGGGGGACAAGTTAGGATACACCAATGAGTGAGGTACTTCTATCCTTGTTAACAGCTGTATCAGAAAACGGTCTGGAAGTCAGAGAATATTGGAAGCACTTGGAGGGTCAGCCCAAATGAACATACAGCCTCAGTGGGAATGGTGTGCTTGTGCTAAGGCCAAACCTCAAGGCGCGTGCTTCAGAATCTTTCCAACCACTTTGCCTCTAAACCCCACTAATATAGAAACTTGGGGTGGGCTTGTGGTTTATTCTGGGAGTCCCAACTCTTGAATATACTCCCTTGCTTAAAGGCAGTTTCCTCAGGGAAAATTTCTCTGAAGGGGTCAAGGCCTGGACTCAGAATTTGTTCCAGACCTCTTTGTATTCTTCCAGGGAAGTGCAAGCTTTATTCTGGTCTGGAAGATTATGATTGTGGGTGTTTTTATGTTTCCCTGACTCCTTGGATGGAATAGGGAATAGGGTGGGTGGGTGGGTTGAAATTAGGGGATTCCCCCAGGGTGGTGTAACTTTTTAATTTGGGAAATGACATTTCTTTGTTGGAGTCAGGCATTCAATACCAGGTGTAGTGGTAGCTCTCTCTGCTTTCCCATCTAGATAAGGGCTTTCTTTTCAGTGAGTGTGTTACCCATAGAACTCCTGTTAAAGGGCCTCTTCTGTTTGCCTGAAATCTTACGTGAATCTTTTTCTAGCTTCCGCTGTCATTTCCATTGACTCCTTTTAGTTTGTATCTGACAGTGATCTGGAGCTAGTCTCCCTTTTTAGCAGGAATCTGTTTCCAGTTCTGGATTTTTCCTAATGATGGATGACTGTGTTTTGGGGTGTGGGCTGAGCTACTGAGAGCTGCCAAGCTACAATTTAAAAAAAAGGTCAGTTTTATTTTCTTTTGAAACTGAATAAAGGCCATTGTGATGGGATTACAATGGACAACAGTAGATATCTTCAGAGCAGTGGTTAGAATGCATTGATACATTGAAATATTTATTGAGTATCTACTGTATGCCAGGCACTCTCTAGAGCGGCGCTGGCTGATAGAACTATAACCTCAAGCCACATAGGCAATTTGAAATGTTCTAGTAGCGGTGTTAAAAAACAAAATAAAAGTGGAACAGGTGGATTTAATCTTAAAATTAAATGTTTGTCAATCCAGCATATCTAAAACGTCATCTCAACATATAATCGTGATAAACATTTTTAGATTTTTGTTTTTATACTGAGTCTTCAAAGTAAAGCATGTGTAGCTAACAACCCATCTTAATTGGGACTTGCCACATTTCAGAAGGTTAGTAACCACATGTGGCTAGTGGCTACTGAATGGGACAGTGCAGTCTGGTAGCGGTGAACAGTTTGAAGTGAGGCTGGGAAAGAGAGAAACTACAGTCACCTAAAAACAAGCAGTCAAGAGAAGATGGGTGAGTGATGGTTAAAAGGAAAATTCAGTGCAGTGAACACAAGTCACTGGGCCACTTTGGGTAGTGAGGCCAGAAAGGTCTCTCCGACATTGACACCAGCACCGAGGCCTAATCTGGACAAGGATCTGGGGCCAGCCAGGCAGAGTTTTCTAGGATGATGGAATGGCTAATGTAAAGATCCTAAGGCAGGATAAATCGTCAAGCTTCCTGCCAGCTAGAGTCCTTCATAGCTTCCGTCTCTGTGTACAGGCAAATCTCCTCCCACAGAAGAGGCCCATGGTACGTATCTTTCCACTCCGCCAAACACATCCCAATGTTTAATTAGAAAACTTGGATCCATAGGCCTTTTCACCAAGAAGGTCCAGGGCAGGTACAATCCCAGATGAAGCTGGATCCTCTTGCCTCTGGGTTTTTTGTTTTGTTGTTTTTTTTTAAGTTCTACACTAATTATGGCTTTCTCTTCCAGCTGCCAAGTTTAGTTTGGGCCCAGACTCCCTTTTAGAATCTTCATAGTTCCTTCATTTTTCTTTTTTTTTCTCCTTATTTTAGTCTTTGAATTCCCGAGCCTGAGATAGCAAGAGATTAAATCCCCAAATGACAGAAATAGAGTGTGAAATCTGGATGTGGCTTATGTTTAAGAAGCATTTCATGTTAAATTTTTGGCAAAGGCATCATAACAGTCTAAGGGACTTCATTTCATGTATATTATAGAGAGATACCATGTATATTTATTCCACAAATATTTACTGATGGCCTACTCTCTGCCAGGAACACTGCTAGGCACTGGAGATAAACATACAAGGTCCCTACTCTGTGGCATTGATGTCCTAGTTGGAAGGTGACAGATAATGATCACAGTGGTGTTTGTGCTGTAAAGAAGATAAAGTGAGAAGTTTTGAAGAACCTTGACTTGGGATCAGAGAAGGGCTCTCTAAGGAGCTTCTCTTAGGGCTTTCTCTTTCCACATATTCTAAGGTGAAGAGAATAGCTGGTGCAAAGGCCCTGAGGTTGGAACTAATTGAGCACCACCAAGGGGTGAGAAAAGGCCTGTGTGCAGGACTTCTAGGGCAGGGTGAGGTTTTTATTCTGAGATGGATAGAAACTGATCACTGAGAGGTGAGGAGAATGGGTGGTGGAGGCCAGAGAGGGGGCTAGGAGAGCAGTCGGAAGCTGCTTAGAGATAATGTTGGATAGATGAGCTGATGCTGATGAGATGGTATTACATAGTTGAGAATAAACAGCCATGAGGTGGAGGGAAGTTAGGTTTGCCAAGTCTTTTGGGAGCAGACTTGATAGAACTTGTTCATGGGTCTGGATTGGGAGGTCAAGAAAAGAGAGAAGTCAGGGATGACCCCTTTTCATATTGTGTGAAGCCTGTGTGGCGTTGAAAGGATGGATGACATGCATATCCTGGAGGAAGCGAACCAAGTGTGACTCTTACCAGGATGGAATAAAGTCAGGTGATAATAATGTACCTCCAGGTCAATGTCGTTTAGTATTTGACTACTCCTGGTTTCTCAGCCTCAACACCATTCCGTTGACGTTTTAAGCAAAATAATTTTTTTCTTGTGCGAGTCGGGGGCGGTCATCCTGTGTGCTGTAAGATGTTTAGCAGCGTCCCTGGCCTCCACCCATTAGATACTAGTAGCACCACTCCTCAGAGAAGGCAATGACACCCCATTCCAGTCAGTACTCTTGCCTGGAAAATCCCATGGACGGAGGAGCCTGGTAGGCTGCAGTCCATGGGGTCGCTAAGCGTCAGACATGACTGAGCGACTTCACTTTCACTTTTCATTTCCATGCATTGGAGAAGGAAATGGCAACCCACGCCAGTGTTCTTGCCTGGAGAATCCCAGGGACGGGGGAGCCTGGTGGGCTGCCGTTTATGCACAGAGTCGGACACGACTGAAGCGACTTAGCAGCAGCAGCACCATCACCACCACCCCCAGTTGGAACAACCAAAATATTTCCAGATATTGCCACATGTCCCCAAGGGACAGAAGTGCCCCCAACTGAGAACTGGATTACACGAAGGAGGTGTTGACAGGGTAGGGCCTTGTTACCTTAAGATACCTAGAAACAATGAGAATAAAGAAAACACCACAGAATTGCTGCTTAACATTGAGTCTTGTTTTCTATTTGAAATATAAAATAATGTCCTACCATGCAAATATTCACATCCAGAGGAGTATGCTTGATTACACAAGTAATTGTATAAATGAAAGGGTCACATATACAAAAATACAGATTTCTAGGAGGAATTACCTAGGCCTGTACAAATGCCAGTTTAGACAGACCTAATATTTCAAAACCTAGATTTCCACATAGAACCTCAGGGAATAAATATTCTCTTTACAAAGGAAACTTTTAAAATTTTCTTTAAATAGCAAAGCCACGAAGTCTTGATATAATTTATTAAAATTCTATTTAAAGAGAATTTTCAGCAAAATATATCCACGTAAATAAGATATACTCCTGTATATTCCTATAATGCATACATCAGGAAATATTATATATATATATGCACACATAAAAATATTATATACATATATACGTGTTTACCATCTGATTCATTGAATCTGAGATATCATGGATTGTATTGCCATTATGTGTCTCTGAAAAAATACTGCCTATTAAACTGTGAGAAGTCATCACTTGACGCATCCTGATTTTAACAAGGTCAAACTATGAGAAGACGTAGATATGTCCTAAAATACACAAAACAGGAGCTGTTAAATTAGTATCTATCTGGTAACAGCTATAAAAGGGTCAGTCTCAAAACTGCTAAAGTGGAACATACTCATCAGTGACCTCATTCAGCATGGAAGTCAGCTTTTGTATTCATATGTATCACAATCAAAGGATCAGTTCTGAAGGCCTTGAACTTACAGGCTTTGTCAGCCATTGAGAATCTTCTGTCAGAGGATAGAGTTGAACTAGGGACTGCCCTTCAAGTCAATGAAGAAGCACCAGTCCAGCCCCCACCCTTCACCCCGAGAAACAAGGATTGAATTGGCTTGGTGTTTGAAGGAGGCTGTGTAAATTCCGAGCTGGAGATGAGGTTGGGGCGGAGGGAATTGAAAACTATAGGAGAGCAGTGAAATAAGCAGGGTGGGACTTATTTCCGCTTTGATAGTGTGAGACCTGGGTACGCTTCTCAGTTGCTAATCTCGGTGGGATTCTCATAAGCAGAACATGAGTCCAGGTGTGAACTCTAATGAGCTACTTGGGGCATAACAGGGAGACGTGTGTGGTCGGCATGCGGCATGGACCGGAAAGGGGAGGCTGGGTCCAGTGGGGTGGGGAGGAAGGTTGCCTGTAGTGGTAGGCAAGTGGGTGCCTTGGGATGTATTTGAAAGAAATGTTGGGATGTAATATGTGTTTCAGCTTTAGCAGGGTCCCTAGGGGCAGGAAAAAAAATGAATCTTGTAAAAAAAATCTGGGCAAGATGGGATGGAGATTTAAGCCAGAACAGAGAGGAGATGGAAGAGGAGGGCAGATCAAGAGGTGGTGAGCAGGGCCAGTATTAGCCTTGGTGATGGGAGGGATGCTGGTGAGTGAGGGGAAGCCTGTGAGTTTCAAATATTCCTTTCGGGAGAGAACTTAAGTACATCTGAAGGCCCCCTGATCAGTACCTTCTAGCTCGATCCTTGCCTGGCCTGCCTCCTTTCTTCCTCTTTGGGCTTTCATGGGAAAACGAGGCCCCCCTTCACTGGGTTCACCCTGACAAAGGTTACTCTGAGTCATGGTTAACCAGCAGTGCCAGAACTGAGTAACCCCACTGGAATTTGGCCTGTGGCTACTGTTATTGACCAGGGTCATTTAAATGACAACTCCCTCCGGGAATCCAGACTGTCACTTTTTGCCAGGGGACGACCTCTGCTTTCCTGTGTCTGAGTCAGCAAGGTGCTGGGGGCTGGGCTCTGCCCTTTCCGGTGAGGCGAGGGTGCCTTCTTGAAGTATGTTGTCTCCTGCCCCAGAGGAGCCGCTGCTGCTGGCCGAACTCAAGCCCGGGCGCCCCCACCAATTTGATTGGAAGTCTAGCTGTGAAACGTGGAGCGTTGCCTTCTCCCCGGATGGGTCCTGGTTCGCCTGGTCTCAAGGACACTGCATTGTGAAGCTGATCCCCTGGCCGCTGGAGGAGCAGTTGTAAGTTCTTTCACACCCAAAGGAATGAGGAAGTCCTGGGGAACTTTCCCAGAACTTTCCCAAATGACTTCCTGCCCAAGAGCAGGAGAGGGAAGGTGGCTGAACAGTTCAGAAATTGATCATTGGGATTTCCAGGGTCCTTCATCCTGTACCTGTGAAACCTCATTCTGTTGATAGCCCCAAGTGTTTTTTTTTAACAGCTTTATTGAGGTATAATTTACATACTATACAATTTTCCCATTTACAGTGTACAATTAAGTGACTTCAGTATATTTACAGAGTTGTGCATCCATCATCATGACCAATCTTAGAATGTTTTTGTCACCCCCAAAGAAACCCATCATTCTTCAATACCCTTCTCCTCTCCAGCCCTGATCGGCTTCTAATCTACTTTCTGTCTCTAAAGATTTGCCTATTCTAGGTATTTCATGCGAATCTAATTGTACACTATGTCATCTTCTGACTGGTTTCTTTCACTTAGGGTACTGTTTTCATGGTTATCCGTGTTTTAGCATGCTCCGTGGCTTAATTTCCCTTTATTGCCAAATGATATTCCATTTTATGGAGACATCACATTTTGTTTTATAAGTTTTTCAGCTGGTGAGCATTTAGGTTGTTTTCACTTTTTGGCTATTAAAAATAACGCTGCTGCAAACACTTCCGTACTGGTTCTTTTGTGGATATGTTTTCATATCTTGTGTGGATATATGTTTTCATACACGTTTAACCATTTGAGGGTGTGTCAGGCAGTTTTCAAGAGTGGTTGCACCATTTTATAATCTCAGGAACAGTGTTGGAGATTCCCAGACTTTCCACATCCTCACCAACACTTGCAGCATAGCCCGAGTGGGTGTTAAGTGGCATCTCATTGTGGCTTTTGATTTGCATTTCCCTATTGACTGCTGATCTTGTGTGCCCACCCCCACACCCACCTCCCGCCCTCGCCCCCATGTGCTTACTGGCTCTTTGCCTATCTTTGGGTGAAGTGTCTATTCAGATCCTTGGTCCATTTTAAAATTGGCTAGTTGCCTTTTTTGTTATCAACCAAGTTGTTTCTGATATTAACTAGCTTTTCTTTCTCTGGGCTGGACAAGTCTCAGTGTTTGAAGGCTGTGAGCTCCCAGTCAGATGGCCCAGCATCTGTATTTTTTTCATTTGTCCCAGGGCAACTCTATGTCTGTATTTATTTATTCAGCCAGCAATTTTTGCAAATCTTCCTTGCCTGACCAGGAGCCAAGGGTTGAGAATTCTGAAATATATCAAACATGGCCCCTGCCCTTGAAGGTCTCATTTGTTTTGCTTTAAGCATTTTATAAGTTGCATATTAAAGTTTTTCATAAGTTCAGTCTGAAACTTGTTGCCTTGATAATAGGTAATGCTGATGCAAGTTTGCTGAGATGAGTACTTTGCACACTGCAGGGGTTGAAGGGTGTACATTTGTGCATTTTCTGGAAGGAAGGCCATTTCAGCGATCTTAAAACTGTTTTTCCTGCAATCAGGAAATCTCAGAAATGAGGTCATCTATTTATTTGTTTTTTTTAAAGTTTTTATTGGCATATAGTTGATCTACAATGTTGTATTACTTTCTGCTGTACAGCAAAGTGAGTCAGTTGTACGTGCACATTTATCCACTGTTGTTTAGATTTTTTTCCCGTGTAGGTTATTATGGAATATTCGGTAGAGTTCTCTGTGCTGTATAGTTGGTCCTTGTTCGTTATCTGTTTTATATTCAGTAATGTGTATATGTCAATTCCAGCCTCCCAATTTATCCCTCCCCCTTTTTCCCCCGTAACATAAAATTATTTTCTACATCTGCAACTCTGTTTCTGTTTTGTAAAATAAGTACATTTGTACCTTTTTTTTTTAGATTCTACACATAAGTGCTATAATGTGTTGTTTGTCTTTCTCTAACTTACTTCACTCAGTATGACAGCCTCTAGGTTCCCCCATGTTGCTGTAAATGGGAGGTCATGTATTAGATACACTGCTTTTCAACATGAAATTAATCATGATAGTTAAAAATCAGAAATAGCTTAAAATCTGGTAACGAGAAGAACGGTGAAGGAAATTATGGCATTGCCATCTGATATTTTTGCAGCCATCAAAGATTGCAGTGTATGCCTTTTTTCTTCATGTTTATTTATTTACAGCTGTGTTTGGTCTTCATTGCTGTGTCACCTTTTCGCTAGTTGTGGCGAGCGGGGGCTGCTCTGTAGTTGCGGGTCGAGGGCTCCTCGTTACCGTGGCTTCTCCCGTTGCAGAGCACGGGCTCTGGGCTGCTTTGGCGTCAACAGTGGCCACATGGCGGGCTCAGTAGTTGCAGCGCCTGGGCTCCAGGGCGCAGGCTCAATAGTTGCTGCGCAGCATGTGGGATCTTACTGGATCAGGAGTCAAACCCGTGTCTCCTGCATTGGCAGGGGGATTCTTCACCACTGAGCCACCAGGGAAGCCCTGTTTTTTGTTTTTGTTTTTTTAAATCACAATTTTCAGTTCCTTCTATACTCGTTTAATGAAAATGTCAAAATCATTCATTATTTATTAATCCCGCAGTCTAAATGCAAGGGATTCAGCTTCATATCCAGACTTGGGTCTGATGTAGGTTTAGTCTGAAAAATAATTTTTTTAAAAAGTAGAAAATCTGTTATTTCCTTGAAAATCACTCCTGTATTCAAATATATATATATTACTAGACATAAATATATCTTTCCCATATTAATTAAGGAAGTAGAAATTTGAGCATTAACCCTTTTTGTGTTATCTTTTGTTTAATATAATGAGAATATTGTTTAACATGTTAAATGGAATGTTACTTATTTTAGAGAAAAACCATATATTTTGAAGAGTAATAACTTGAGGAAATATTTACAGTAGAATGCTTACCCAGAAAAGCAAGCTATGAAACTCTTTGCAGTATGATCCCAAATTTGTTTTTTAAAAACATGTATATACATAAATAAAAGTCATGGTACTGTGTTTACTGTGGTTGGAGTGGTGTTCAGTTCAGTCGCTCAGTCGTGTCTGACTTTTTGTGACCCCATAGACTGTAGCCTGCTAGGCTTCCCTGTCCTTCACGATCTCCTGGAATTTGCTCAAAGTCGTGTCCATCGAGTCAGTGATACAATCCAACCATCTCATCCTCTGTTGTCCCCTTCTTCTCCCACCTTCAATCCTTCCCAGCATCAGGGTCTTTTCCAGTGAGTCAGTTCTTCGCATCAGGTGGCCAAAGTATTGGAGTTTTAGCTTCAGCATCAGTCCTTCCAGTGAATATTTAGGGCTGATTTCCTTTAGGATGGACTGGTTGGATCTCCTTGCAATCCAAGGGACTCTCAAGAGTCTTCTCCAACACCGCAGTTCAAAAGCATCAATTCTCAGTGCTCAGCTTTCTTTATAGTCCAGCTCTCACATACATGACTACTAGAAAAACCATAGCTTTGACTAGATGGATCTTTGTTGTTAGGATCTGGGTAATTTTTATAATTTTCTCATTTCCAAAATTTCCCCATTTTCCACTGTTATTTTTATAGTTTTAAATAATTGTTATTTTTAAAGTTCTTTAAAAGAGAAAATTTGAGTCCTTTATATTCTTGTTAGGATTGTTACATGCTTAAGAAATCATATAGTGCTTTCAAGATTGAGCAAATAATTGATATTAACAAAATAATGTACTACTTTTAGAAATAACATTTTCAAACACTTTAATTTTGATGAATTTAAGTTCTAATGACTCTACCCGGGTCCCGAGCCACCCCCACCTTCCACATAGCTCACCCCTTCAATTCATTGCAGACTCTGAAGTCCAAGGCATTTGCTGGCTAGGACACCCAAGACTTGGCTCTGATTCTGCCTGTGATTTTGTGACCCTGGGAAAGTTATCCCTATCCCAAGCATGGAGATTTTAATATCTTGTTCTAGAAAAATTAAATTTATGATGTTAAAATGAATTAATATATAAATGTGCCTTAATTCCTTTAAAGTAGCTACAGATGCATCTCTTAATTGAAATACAGAAGTTAGGATTTTATAAAAGAAATAAAAGGAACTTGGAAGGTTCCAAGCTGTCCTGCAGAACTCTTGCATGGCCAACTCGGGCTCCCAAGTCAGAGCTGGGCAGGTCTTTGAAGTGCATGTGTTGGCCTGTCTGGGGCCATGTGTGCACTGGACAGCCTTCAATGAAAAGACATTCACTGTCATATTCAGGTGTTCTGTCAGAATGACAAATTTTCAGAGCACATTTGGCCATTTAGGCCAGGAGTCAGCAAACATTTTCTTTAAAGGCCCAGATAGTAAATATTTTGGCTTTGGGGCAAATGTCTCCATCAGGACAAGTCAGCTCTGCTGCTGGAGGGTCTCAGCGACCCTCGATGAGATGCAGGCAAACAAGCAGACTTCATGTGCAAAACAGACTGCCCACCTGGGCACTCCCTGCCAGCCTCTGCTGTGGAATAATAGGGTTTCCAGAGCTGAAAGAACCTACAGTGGCCTCAGTCTCTTGCTGCCAGTTTTGTAGATGAACTTGGTTAAAATTCTTTAATATATTTCAACTACGCGATTGACAAAAGCACGATTTACCTAACTTTTGGGGAACAAATGTAACACAGAAAGAGGTTCAGCTGCATGTATGTCAACTATAGGATTTTTCATGGAAATGAGTTCCAGCTTTATCATCACCATTCCTTCAGTTCGATAAACCCGAGAGTGTGGTCAGAGTCAGGTAGAAAAGCAGGACTGAGTACTTGCACTGATAAAGTATACCGCAGACCAGAAACTGCGTTTGCGGGCTGAACCGCAGGGCAATTTAATTGCTTGTTCCTTTAAGAGGTATGTGAGGCAGAGTGTGGGCAGGGCCCTGTTTCTTAAGGACAGAGCCTTATTTAGCTTGTCTAGGCCTGTGTTTCAGCATAAGTAGAAGGTAAAAGGCAAGGCTTGGGCTACAAGGTCTTTGAGGTCAGCATACCTCTGAACAGCTCTGAGTTCTTTCCTTGACTGCCCTGCTGGTTGGTTCCTGGGCTGGAAGAGTCATCAGGAAAGAAATGAAAGAGTCTCACTCAGGGATCGGAGCAAAGTGAGGGAAGGTGGAAATGATGTGTACTAAGCAAACTGTTGGCCAGAAAGGAGTTTACTTTTCTGCTTCTAGGGTGCTTTCTAAGCTAGAGATAAAGGGGTGTTACGAGGTAGAGTAGCAAATGGGTAATCAGGCTCTAAGTTCTGTCCTAGTTCCAGACTTCCAGCATGCTTTCTTTCTCATGGGGAACACTGAGTGTCTCTCTCCTTCCATGCACCAAAACCCAGGAGAACTTTCTGAAGAGGAGAATGACTCCCTGGAGCATCTGTGATCTAGTTCTCCCACAAGGCAGGTCACCCCACTGCAGGGCTGTCAGAAGTGGAATGAGCCACAGCCAATGAAGTCCCTGTTACACGAATTCTAAAAAGAAACAGGAAGAAAAGTCATTCTAGAATTCACCAAAGTTGTTTCTAGGACTTCAAAGACTTAGATACCCCCGAGTGAAAGGTTGGTTGACTTGGTGGCAGTTTCAGATTCATTAAGAACTCTTCTGCTTTCCCCAGCATCCCTAAAGGGTTCGAAGCCAAAAGCCGAAGCAGCAAAAATGAGACAAAAGGGCGAGGCAGCCCAAAGGAGAAGACACTGGACTGTGGGCAGATTGTCTGGGGCTTGGCCTTCAGCCCATGGCCTTCTCCACCCAGCAAGAAACTCTGGGCTCGCCACCATCCGCAGGTGCCAGATGTCTCTTGCCTGATCCTTGCTACTGGACTCAACGATGGGCAGATCAAGATTTGGGAGGTCCAGACAGGTAGGTCATTTCTGGCTGGGATCAAGGCCCCCCCCAGGGCTCACACATTCTGATCAGGGACGGCCTGTTGACCAAGGGGTGTGGCCATGACCAGAGGGCCAGGGCTTCATCTCCCCCTGACCTAGTGCCCCTCTCTCTCACGCTAGGGCTCCTGCTTTTGAATCTTTCCGGCCACCAGGATGTCGTGAGAGATCTGAGCTTCACACCCAGTGGCAGTTTGATATTGGTTTCTGCATCTCGGGATAAGACTCTTCGCATCTGGGACCTGAATAAACATGGTATGGAAGTGGAGGGATGACTTGGAAGCCCCCAAATACTATTTATTTGCCCCTCTGTCTGCTTGACCAGTGTCATTTTATCCAGAACAGTGTTTCTCAACCTTTTTTCTGTTAGTGCCTTCTCAGGAGACTTTTTAGATATACTTTTCCTAGTCACCTTCCTACCTGGGAGGTTTTCATACCAGAAATGGAGATACACTGTGTATCTGTTAAGGTGCTGAATGCTTATCTATGCTTTGTACATAAAAATGGTAAGATGTTTCCGACCATCAAGAACCAGTTTTCACCCCTGATGAAAATACATAGTATAGAATAGGTTTTCTCAGCTCTGGCACTCTTGAACTTTGGGCTAGATAACTCTTTGTTATGGGCCAACCTTTGGGTTCTTGATTGTTAAGCAGTATACTTGTTGTACCCATGAGATGCCAGTAGCACCTTCTTCGGTGGTAACAACCAAAAATGTCTCCAGACATTGCCTGGTGTCCACATGGGGGGCCACAGTCTCCGTGGGCTGGGAACCAGCGATTGAGAAGAAGTCATCCTTGTTGGGTACTTCCTGTTAGGGAAACAGTCTAGGTTAGAAGAATTCTCTCAGGCTAGGGGTGGGGTGGGGCGGGGCGTTCATTTCTCCTGTAAGCGGAACAGTATCTAGGAGTGGCCTGATGAAGAATTCCATGCGTCTCTGGTGTTGCAGCTGGAATGGTGACCCAGGGAAGAGGAATTTATTTCCAGGATATTTCTCCCTCACGTGGGCAGGGACATGAGTGTGGATGGAGGTGGTAGAAAGAGGAAGTGGCGACATGGACTGTGAAGAGCACACTTGTCCCCTGACAGTGCAGAGTCCGAGCCGTGACTGTTCCAGCCCCACTTACCTGTCCCTTTCTCTCAGAAACAAGCCTGATAGCTTGTCAGACAAGTAAGGAGGTGCTTGTGGAGGCCTTACCTGGAGGCATCTCATCACCCAGAGAGCCCTGGGGCCTTTCTGCCCGTTGCTGTGGAGCTCGTAGTTGCGTGGTCTGAGGTGGGCCTGCAGACTGGGAGGCCTGCTCAGAGGCAGCACCATTGTAATGTGTGTCCACAGGCAGCTTGCCACCACCTAAGGCAAGGAGTGGAAGGGGACCGAGGCCAGTTACTAGGGCTTTTCGGGGAGAGAAGGGGCTAGAGTTGTGTCTCTCGGAACACGGCCCTGCCTTGCTGTATTCACTCACACCTCCCCAGGGCAGGTGCTCTTCTTACAGCTAAAGAAACCATGACTGACTTTTAAAAAATTTATTTCCAAAAAAAAAAAAAAAAAATTTATTTCCAGCATATACTCACACATAAACTCATAAATGCATGTGTGTGACCATATACATTTTCTCCCCTTTGTTGGGGTTTCTCCCCTTAAGCTGTCCCATTCTCCCCTCAAGTACATTCCTACATGATCCCCGCTGTGGTGCTGTCACCCATGCTAAGAGCCTTCCGTGTTTCCTTCCATGTTTTTCTCTATACTTACATAATCTATACAAACACTCACGTTTCCGTTTATGGATTTGAGGGTCATTGTCTCACAAAAATGGAATCTCATTTTTTACATTTTTTTGCATCTTGCTTTTTTTTTTTTTTTTNATTTTTTACATTTTTTTGCATCTTGCTTTTTTTTTTTTTTTAATTAAACACTTCATGGAAAATCTAGTTCCTTAATTTCATGTGACTTAACACATGGATTGCTACCCTTTATCCATCCATTCCTCTGTTGGTGGGCATTTGATTTTTTCCCAAAATGGAGACCTGGAGAGGTGAAGTGAGTGTCCCAGCACAATGCGCTGAGTAGACAGTGGAGTCAGGGTTCAAGCGCAAGTTCGCCTGCCTCAGAGCACGTGGCCCTAATGACCCTGCATCACTGCTCATCCGTTCACCCTGGCGAGGTGTGGAGAGTGGGATCCTGTGACCCGGGGAAACCAGTACAGAGCATGAATGACAGAGAATGGAAGGTCTCAAATTTGGGAGGATGCTTCAGAGTAATCCAGGTGCTTGGGGGACCTGAAATAGTCTGCTATAAAAGGAGCCCTTATCCCATTGACCCTGTGGATTTTGGTGAAGCAGTTGATAATGATTTCCCTTGGGCATTATAATGTCACATTAATGGGTTTCAGGCATTTAAATGACAAGTCTTGTCATGTCTCTGCATTACAAAAGGAGCCCAAATCTAGAAGGATGGTACTGATAAAATCTATTTGCAGGGCAGCAGTGAAGATGCAGATATAGAGAAGAGACTTGTGAACACAGCGGGGGAAGGAGAGGGTGCAATGAGTGGAGAGAGTAACATGGAAACATATACATACCATACGTAGAAGAGATAGCCAGTGGGAATTTTCTGTATGACTCAGGGAGCTCAAACCTATGCTCTGTGACAATCCCGAGTGGGTGGGATGGGGTGGGAAGGAGGTTCAGGAGGGAGGGGACATATATAAGCCTATGGCAGGTTCATGTTGATGTATGGCAGAAACCAACACGATAATATAAAGCAACTCTCTTCCAAATAAAAGGGGGGCGTGTGGGCTCAGCTGCTGGAGAACCGCTGGATACAGCAGGTAGGGGGGCCACCACCACTGGTTTTGGGGCATCCTGCTTTGTGGTTCTGGGAGTTGGCTAACCGTGTGCTCTCCCTTCTCTGCCAGGTAAACAGATTCAGGTGTTATCNGAGAACCGCTGGATACAGCAGGTAGGGGGGCCACCACCACTGGTTTTGGGGCATCCTGCTTTGTGGTTCTGGGAGTTGGCTAACCGTGTGCTCTCCCTTCTCTGCCAGGTAAACAGATTCAGGTGTTATCGGGCCACCTGCAGTGGGTTTACTGCTGCTCCATCTCACCAGACTGCAGCATGCTCTGTTCCGCGGCCGGAGAGAAATCGGTGAGTCTCAAACTAGGGGTGGTCTTAGCTGTGTTGCTTCAGCTCCACGAGATGTGGAGGCCTGTGTGTGAGAGGGTAAGCGAGCCAGTGTCCTTGAAACCTGCCTGCAGATCTGCCCCAGCGGGAGCCACGCTGCCCGCTGAGGCCCCTCCTGCACGCCTTCCTTCTGATTTGCACTGTTAACATGGACCCGCTCCATTACTGGAGGGCCGTTGGCCTTCACAAGATGGGAAAGTGATGCTTTTTAAGTGTCTTTCCCCCTCAGAGTCTAAGATTTTGAAAGTTGCACCTCACACTTGGATACATATTTCCTTCGAACCATGTAATCTGAATCCATCTGATTAGGATTTCCATTTCAAATCATAAAACATACAGAACCTTCTTGAACTTTGTCCTGATATCCTATCTACTATAAGAAAAGTACTGGAAACCCAGGAACAGTTTGGAAACCGTTTGAGTCTTATATCTGCATCAGGCTGTTGGTTGCTGTGACTGACTTGGGAAAGTTAAGAGTCCACTGTTTGGTACAGCCCAGGACGTTAATCATTGATTTGAGGTTTGGAACTAGCTGAAAGTGAGAGTTTTCTTAAAGGAAAGAAAAAAATCATTCTTTTAATGATTCTCAGAAGTTTTAAGTAATGAGCTAGGTCAGACCTACAGTTCTGGGGCAGATTTCTGTGGTCCTGTAAACCAAAGCGGGGTGTTAGATGGCTCTGTTGGGTGCCCTGGAATTCACCTCTGACCCCTGTTTTTGGTTTTAAGTGAAAGGGCAACATAGCCACTGGCTTAGGTCTTCAGCATGCATTGCCCTACTTGCTAAGAGAGCTCAGAAGCAGAACCCAGATGCCTCCCCTGAGCCATGTTGGCAGCCATCTTCCTGAGGTCAGTCAATTGATCTCCCTTAAAGTAAGCGTCTTGAGCATGTCCCTTGCTTAGGCACCTCAAGAGTTCAGACCCGTCACTTTATTTAAGCCCTAATGACACGCTCTGGAAGAAACGCAGAAGAGCGGGTGGGGAGCTTGGCTTCCCCTGGCTGCAGGGCCAGGAGGGGCAGGGCTGTGCCTTGCCCCTCCTGGCCATGTCCTGAGTGCTGTCTGACCAGGCGCCTGCTCTTCGCACAGGTCTTTCTGTGGAGCATGCGTTCCTACACGTTGATCCGGAAGCTGGAGGGCCACCAGAGCAGCGTGGTGTCCTGTGACTTCTCCCCTGACTCTGCCTTGCTCGTCACGGCTTCTTACGACACCAGTGTGATCATGTGGGACCCCTACACCGGCGAGCGGCTGCGCTCACTCCAGTAAGGCCCGCTCCCTGCTTCAGCTTCCTGGCGGGGTGACCGACGAGAAACCTGTCTTGGTGCAGGACACGGTGTGGTCCTGCGTATTCTAAGGCACTGGTGTGCAGCAGTGTTTGTCAGTGAAGTTCTCAAATGAGCCCCCAGTGCCTTCCAGTCTCCTGTGATCAGAAGCTCACTGTATTGCTTGGATTCAGCGTTATGAAACCTCACAGTGACTCTTTCTTTCCATTTACTAATAACTGTAGTAACAGGTTCAGAATGATCCTCTTATTGAAACTGTTATTTCCAAAGTGAGTTTTCATGTTCTCACCAACTTGGTCTCCTTTTCCCCTTTGTCTCTGTTGTTTTCTGAAGCAAATAATAGGTAGTCCTATAATTATCACGTATCTTAGCCTAGAAAAGACTTTCAGTTTGTACTGGGGCATTAAAGTGAGGGCTGACCTACTTTGCATAAGGAAATTAGTGCAGGGAGTGTTGGTAACTCTTTAGCCCTCTCCATGACACTGGGGCTCTGAAATGCGCTTGTTTCCAGTTGTCTTTTACCCAGTCTGCAGATCCCCAGGTTTTTCACACAGGGTCTAAGACACGTCTGGAACCTCTTTGTGGCCAAGGCAGTTTGGCCTCCTGCCTGGGGATGAACACCGAAGGGTGGAGGGTGGCCGAAACTCCAGGCCCACCTACTGTCCTGTGTCCCTCTCCTCAGCCACACCCAGCTCAACCCCCCCATGGATGACAGCGACGTCCACATCAGCTCCCTGAGATCTGTGTGCTTCTCCCCCGAAGGCTTGTACCTCGCCACTGTGGCAGATGACAGGTAATGAGGAGAAACCTCTTTACGCAGCCTCAGAGCCAAGTGCTTGAAAGGACTTGTACCATCACCTTCGGGGTCTGACCTCAGGCCTACTGACGCGTCCCATTCTCCTCCAGGCTCCTCAGGATCTGGGCCCTGGAACTGAAGACTCCAATTGCATTTGCTCCTATGACCAATGGTCTTTGCTGCACATTTTTTCCACATGGTGGAGTTATTGCCACAGGGTATGTATCTGTCAGCTGAACAGATGGGTAGCGATTTCTGCTGAGTATTCCATGTAGCTTTTTAAGGAAATAAAGCATCTAGAATTTTCTTGCCTATGAGGAAGGCTTTAAGGAAATCTGAGATTACATAAAATTCTGATACTCACCTCTACCAGTATAGTTTATCATTCACTTTTAATATTTAATCTAAATGTAATGAAGGATCTACAATTCATGCTACCTAAGAGGCCAAGTCTGCAAGGAGACAGAAATTAAGATGATCCAGAATTTATATGGGAAACCATTTTGGGCAGAGACCACCTTACAGGGAGCATCTATAATTCAGTAAGTGGCACTGCCCCATTACATTTGAAATCATAGTATGATTTATAAAGGCCTGCACTCCCAGAGATAGCACTTTGGAATCAAAGGTGTCTAGAGTTCTCGTAATGCTCTCAGCAGCCTTAATTATTCAGCACCACAGCCTCTACATGTATTTCCAAGGTCCAGGTTGCATTTCGTTCTCTGCAGTCTTCTGCCAGGGCAAGTCAATAGAAACATTAATAACTATCACAGTGAAAAGACATTTCCTAGGCCTGTCTTTCGTTTCATTTCAGGACAAGGGATGGCCACGTCCAGTTCTGGACGGCTCCTCGGGTCCTGTCATCACTGAAGCACTTATGCCGGAAAGCCCTTCGAAGTTTCCTCACGACATACCAAGTGCTAGCACTGCCAATCCCCAAGAAGATGAAAGAGTTCCTCACGTACAGGACTTTCTAAGCCAGTCTCCGTAGTCTGTCTTGTGTTCTTCGTAGCAGGATAAATCTTCCCGACAAAGGAGTAGGTGGATAATGGGCCAAACATCTGGCCTTGGGTTGAAATACAATTTCTCTTTGGGAAGCTGTGAACAGAATGTAGCAAAGCCAGATTCCAGCGGACCCGCCCGGGTCTCTTCCCCAGGACACACGAGTGTCAGTCACAGAAGAGGGACAGTGATGGAGCCTGACCTTTACCTACTCACGCACAGCAGTGCTGGGCCCTCTGGTCATTTTGATTCCAAGTGCAGTTAAGGAGTTGTTTTACTGAGAGGAGTGCCTGGGCCTCACACCTCTGTGGCAGCAGGGAAGTTCCCACTCCCTTGACTGGAGTGTGGCTTCTGCTGAGTGTCTGTCACTGATCCAGATGCAGAAGGGGCCTTGGTGAAGTTCTGTCCTGCCGGTCAGAGCGGCTCTGGTGTGAGCAAGGGCTTTCCTTCCCCCCGCTCCCCTGTGGCCCGCAGGACAGGTGTCAGAGAGATGTCTGGTGGGGGGCATTACTCAGCTCAAGTCCAGGCGACAAGAGGCCGTGCTCCTGAGACACTAGACTTGGCTTTTTTTTAAATAATGGTGTGCATGTGCCGGAGGCGACAAATTTGTGTGTCAGGTTACACAGAACGTATTCCTCAAATGCATGACTGTTCCAGTGGCTACTGAGTTATCTGTCAGTTTTTGCCAGTTAGCATATTTATTTGTATTTCCTCAACAGATGTTAAGGTACAGCTGTGTGTTTTTCAATGGTATCTAAAAACCATAGTACTCAATTCCAACAGTTGTGAAGATGTCTCTTCTTAATTGTGTGAAGAATTGGTGGTGTCATCATTTCAGCTGATTTTCTTCTGTACGAGATCTGACTTGACTGCTTCAACTCATTGGACTCATCAGCCAGTCTCAACTCTGCCCCTAAACACAACTAGCTCCTTAAAAGTATTGTTCTCCTTCAGTGGTGTAGAGTTATCTAATCAAGACACCTCATTCAAACAAAATCTGCCTTTGGAAAAATTTAATATATTTTAAATTATTTTAAAAGAAATGCAACATCTTACCCTTTGGCTTTCTTACTAGGCGCTTTGTGGAGGCCTGTGTATTATGAAAGAACGTGCTGGAAAGGCAGAGGAGCCTCTGCTCTGCTGCCTTTGTTGCTGCAAGAAAAACATTTGTTTTCAAGATGAGAGGCTTTCATTGAAGGAAAAAAGGTATAAAGCTTTTGGCTCGCTGTTTCATTTTTTCCATTAAGAAAAAAAAAAATCACCTTTTAAAACAAATGAGTACAAAGCAGCTGGGAATAGATTGGGCAACATTTAGATCTCATGTTCATCTTGAAATATTACATACAGTGTAGTCTGAGAGGCCCTGGGCAGCTTCTTGAGACAATCTTCCACCCCCACCCCTAGGCCATTAGCTTCAGACAAGGCCCACCTGAGTGATGGGTGTAACTTCTCCCTTTTGACAGTATAAGAATTAGACACCTTTATAAAGAACAGCCTCCAAAGAAAGTTAATTCTGTGATAATCAGGGACGGAGGCGGCTTTTTCATATAAATGCAAGTCGAACAAGGCAGCCTCTGTATAGCTGGCTAAGGAAAGAGGAGTCACTGAAACAGTAAGTAAGCTGCTTTATTTTTACTGTGCAGAACCCTGTCACAGATGTAGCACAAATGCTTGCAGATAAACTGTCTTCTATTTAAATACGAAGAGTTCCAGTCCTTTCAGCACTTGCGGGCTTAGTCAGGCTTCATCTCATGTGCCCTGGGTTAAACAAGTCAGTGTTGGATGATCTCTGGCCCCAGTGGCATCATTTCAAACGAATGTTTTCTCTCATGTCCACACTACAGTTAGGCAGGCAAGCAATTATTCTACTTCAAGAGCAGAAATAAAAAGGCCAGGTTTTAAAGGAAGAAAATTGAGTTCATTTTATAAAAGCATAATGGCTTGGGCCAGAAACCCATTAACATCTATTTATAGTATATCACAGATTAGATTTACGAACGTGACTTTGGTGATATTCTTTTTACCTTGTGTTGGAAGATACTTGGGCCGTATTAGATTTGAAAGCCTGATGTTCCAAATGGGGTAGGCCAATTTCCTACCATCCAAGCAACTGAAGGGTTAAAGCCTTAAGGCTGAAAATGGGTCTTGCTTCGTTCCCTTGCAAGACACATTCGCAAAGTGCAGCAAGAGAGCTGGACATTAAAACCGCTTTGTACAGCCCTGTTCCAAACAGCCACAAACACAGTGCCTTTTAAATGTCTGCCCATCCATGCCTGGAACAGTTTGATGCAGTTGGGGGTGACTGTAAACACCCAGCCCAGGCAGCAGTTCATCTGTGACCGAGTGCCATGCCCTCCTGTCGCTGCCGGGCCCAAGGGTTAGTCGGCAGCGTGTGGTCCCGGTATCTAGGCCTCGGTGACAATCAGGTCTCTGGTGACTTGAAAAGCGGCAATGAGGGAACTCAGCTGAATCTTCTCACTGGTGCCAACAGAAAGCCTGTACCTAAAAGAAAGCAAACGGAAGTAGGGAGAGAATAGCACGACAGCTGCCTTTTGACCAGAAAACAATAGCAATCAGACCTAAAGTCGGCTGCAGGACAGGAAGGAGGGCATGGAAATTCATCACAGGCAGCAATCTTTTGTGTTCCCTGACATTTTCTTTGCTGCCACAAATACGCATTCATAAATCTGATTCAGACTACAGAGGAAAAATTTTTTTAAAAATTGTTAACAGTAGCAGTGATCTGAACTTAACTTTGTTCAAGCTGTATGTGAATATGCAAAATGCATGTGACTGGGGATTATTTCTTCACCTACAAAATGCATTGAGAGGGATTTTAATTAAGTTTCCTTTCTCCTAATTCACTGGGAAGTTTGGTTTGCCATATCTGTGGTTCTGTGGTCTAGTCAATAAAGCAAGACTGGTATTTATCTTGCAACCTTTTCAAGGGCCCAGCTGCTGAAAGTAAAATCATGCAGTTCACAGTGTAGCAGTCAGAAGTGACCTAACTGGCGTGTGTGGAAGCCAGTGGCGGTGAATCGGAGTCGGCTGATGAGGATGTCTATTCTGAACCCAGTGCCTGTTGTCTACTCACATGAGAGCTGCCAGCTTCACTGGGCGCTAATAACTGTGTTTACTGAAGCAGCCAAAGTGGAAAATTGAGTTTTATGTTTACTTTCCCTGCAATATGCTTTCGTATGCCAAAATGCCTTAATAACAGCTGGATAGCTGGCTGTCCCCAAACAACCTAGATGTTTGAACTACAGCAGGCCTCCCAAATAACAGGAGCACATGGAGAACAAGGGGGACCCGGCCACTGAGGTCGAAGGAGCGGCCTTTATCTCAAATATGTAACTGAGCTGCGCCTGTCCTTGTTTAACCCGTGCTTTAAAAATGCAGCTCACGCCCTTCCCCCCACTTTGCTCAGTAATCCCACCCAAAACTAGACTTCAATTTAGACCAAACCATTGATACTAAACAAGTAGAAACAAAAACTCAGAACAAGGGGAAAGCAGGAAAACAAAACCGGGAAATAAACACTCACTCAATGTCTGCCATTTTGGTCAATAAATGTATTCGAACTGAAGATGGAAAGTCAACTGTGAGAAAAAAAATCAAATGAGTGGGGTCTGTCGTCATCTACTGTTAAAAACATCACAGAAGACAAGTATGAGTTTCCACATCAAGTAAGACTAATCTCTTGAAGCTACAGATCTTGAGACACCATGCTTCTAGAAGTACAAAGTGTATAGGTTTTCAAAGTTTTTATTCTTTTTGAGTCTTTGTAGGGTAGCTAAAAAGAAAAATGAGCAGGTTCCAGAGTGATCATAAGAAGGTGGAAGAGCCGTTCCACAATGCTGTTTCAGCCACTGGGTCACTCTGTAAGTTACCGTCAGAGCTGAGTTCTCACTTGTTATCCCAATTTTAAAAACGATTGATTTTTAAAGGTCGATTCGTTCTCAGTATCCACAAAGGGCAGAATTGGGCCTGAGCCAACCATGTTCTTAGGCAGAATTTCACACACCAGCCAGCAGCCTGGAAAGGAACTGGCAGAACCAGTGTTCATGGACCAGACTGTCCGCAGGTGATTGTGGCTCAGGGAGGAGCATCTCCATGAGGCTGAACAGCAGACCACTCAGAGCTTGAAGACACAAGTGTCTGGTCCTCCCTCAAAGGGCTAACTGGATTGGCCTGGGATGGGCTGTATGTGGGCCAGGGTCGAGAAGCAGTTCTCTGTACAGAACATACAACCAAGTGAGGGACTTAAGGTGGTTTAGGTGAGACCACTCTGGCTGACATGAAGCTAGATCTTCCTTCTCTCTCTCCTTTTGGGGAAAATACCCTTTTAGAAATAGGAATTACAATATCCTACTTATTGCTTTAAAATACGAACCCTTGGAGGAAATAAGTTCCTTTCAGGAATTTCTTTTCTTCTTTCCCCCCACCATTCTAGAGGTCAAGAGTATTTTTGGAACAAGGTTTTAAATAACAAGATAAAACAAAAAATGAGGGACCGGGTTTACACCTCTTCATTCCTGTTTCTTTGTTTCCAAAGTGGACAGTGGAGCTTCAGGTTCCCTCTTCAACCACCCCCAACCCCAAACCATGCTGCCTCATACACAGCTTCTCAGCCGGGGAGGAACGTGATACCTCTGTGCACGAACAGGTGTATCTCCGTCAGGATGTCGTGTAATGCCAACCCCTTCAGAGTCTTCAACTCCATGATATCTAGAGAGGAGCAGTTAAGGCAAAGGGACCAAGTTCCAGGACAAACACTGTAGAGTGACTTTTGAAAGCAGGGCTTTTCACCCCAACACAGCTGTTGCTTTCCACCTGAAGTGGCATATGTTGGACCCAAATTCTTATTTTTGTGTTTTTATCTCCATCCAATAAGGGTTTTATGTTGTATCTGTCTAGCAGAGAATAGAACCAAATGTATTCCCTAAAAGGCTTTAGATCACTATACCTAGCTCTTAATTTTACAGGAAAACAAGAGTAACACTGACATTTTGAAAAATGACTGCATCTTCCACCCAAGGTCTAAGTGCTTCCCTCCCATCTGTGAGTGGAGTGGCTGCAAGCCACACCCAGGTCAGGGCCCTGCAGGAAGACTCTGTGGCATTAAAGACAAGCACTCATCCCAACCACAGACATCGTGCTCCATCATGAGCTGAAAAGACCTCCATGTTCAGACCCTGGGCACTTAATGCACCGGCTATAGGGCAAGAGAAAGGATATTCCTATAGGCTGTGGTGAAATCTTGATTCAACATCCAGTCCAGAATGTTGGCGATGTCTGACTTGAGCGGGTGCCCTGTGCAGGTGTAGACGGTCTCCTCTGTGACCTTCCCAAAGGCCATATTGGTGCTCTGTGCAGACAGGGTGGGGGGTGGGGGGGAACCACCATGGCTGCTGCAGGCGGATCAGGAGGCAGCTGCAGAGGCAGCAGTGTGGGGGTGGGGAGGTGCCGGACCGGCCAGACCCTCTGTTTCTTATACTGCTAAGATCTGGCCATGCCCGGAGGATGCTGCCGCTTGTCAGCTATGTTACTGCTGCAGAGTCCTTCCCTATCTCTCCCTTGTTTGCAACAAAGTATTCTTTCAATTTATCGAAACACAAGGGTGGGGGTACATCTTTAATATATAACAAGATCAAGTTTTTACCAGCTCTGTTGTACTGTTGCTTATGTCTTTCTTGGAAAACTTCCCAAAGCAACTAGAGATCTGCTTGGAGTGGTGCCATACCTGTAAAATGTTCAGAGCCCTTCGCATGTCTCCACTGGAAAGAGTTATGAGCGCTTTCATCCCGTCTTCACTTATATCAACTCTGAAAGGAAACAGGCCAAAGGGATTCAGTGGTCCTGAGAGCACAAATGCTTACGGAGGGAACAAGATGGCCTGGGATGATCGAGGCGTTTAAACAATGAAAGAAAGAAAAGGGAAGGATGGAGTTAACAATACTCTCCTGATCTACAGACTCCAGAACTCACTGGCTTTTAGGGACACTGGCCTCATGTTGAGTCACAGTCCAGTCCAAGTCTAGAAGGACTCGTACTGGAATCAAGAGCTGCTCTGTTGTGCCGGTAGCTTTGAATCTGTTATCTGGGAGGAGATGGCCCTGGTGAGATCTGCAATCGCACAGCCAAGGCACCTGTCAACACCAGCAGCGGCTCGGGCTGGTTACTTGCTTGGCACCTGATTACACAGAATGTGATGGCTCAGGACCCTCCCCTTCTAGTCAAGAAAGGCTAGACGCATCTTAGCAGGAGGGACTTGGCAATGTGCAGTTCCCAACAACAAAAGAAGAGTAGGAAGAAAGTGGGACAGCTTCCAGAGGAGAAGGATGGAATCCAGTGAAGAACCAGTGACTTTCATGAAGAATGTCTGTGAGATGCCAGGGCAGCCGACAGACAAGGAGGCTTAACCTATGCCAGGTTTCCTGAATTGTCTACAAACGGTATCACCCTGAAACATACCATCCAGTCGCCTTACCCAACACCCAATCTCCAAGGCCCACCCCTCTTCCCTGCTTTTCAAAATACTTACTTCTCTTCTTCTACGACGTGTTCCAGGCGGGGAACCATGAGTTCGGGAGTCAGTGGTCCAAATCGGAATCGTGTACACCGGGACTGCAAGGCGGGGATGATCTTTGACAGATAGTTACAGATGAGGCAAAATCTGGTATTTTCAGTAAACTTCTCAATCACTGGCAAGGGAAAAGAAAACCACCTCACTTCCATTCTGATTCTTCAAGGGACCCAGAAACCCTGCACTTTTCTAGGGTCACGTGAAAGGTACAGAAAACAAGAATGCAGACAAGTGGAGATGCTATGGTAGCGAGAGAGGATGTTTCTGAAGATCAGCCATTCTTTCCTGAACTGATGAACAAGACTGTACAGAACGCTTCCTCTTCCATGATTGGCCGTGATTCTGGCAGTCTTGCCATTCTACTCCATTAAGATATGAAATCCAGTGTTCCTTCCCTTTTGCCTAAAATTCTACTTGGCAGATGATGCCCTAACTTTTACTGGGCAGGGGAGGAGGATGGCTTTTTGAAGACTTGCGAGTGGACTTTGTCTCAAACTCTTAGAGCATTCACGAGAGCATTAACCTAATTCAGAGATGCCTAAGACGCCAGTTTCATTCTGTACCAACATCCTCACGCTGGGATCTGCCCAGACTGACTCAACAGAACAAGATGCTGAAGAAAGGCTGCCAACGCCTCTAGGACCAGAAGATATTCTGTTCTCCTCCTCCTTAAACATGGGCTGCAATCTACTTCTCCCTAAAATTCTTAAAGATTCTCTTCTCTCCTAGCTGTTCACTGCAGAATCTTAATGAGAGAGATTAAGAATGTCCTTGCAAAGAAACTAACTGCACCAGGCCCCTTAAGACTTGACAAATTACAGCGTACTCTCCCTTCCTGGCCAAATCATTCTCCTGGCAAGAAATGAAGTCATGTCAGCTTTCTGATGCAACTAAATTTCTAGTAGTATTTTCCTGGCTCTTTTGTATCTAAGGGTACCAATAGCAGAAAGGCCTATCTAGCAGTTTAGGAATGAACAACTTCTTACCTGCTCCCATCCATCAGTACAAATTCTCAACCCTGAAACTGAACCCAGGGAAAAAGGGGGATAAAACACCAGTGTCTGGTCATTACCTAAGAGTTCCCAAAAGGTTTATGTCTTTAAGTTACTAAAAGAGGTAATATCCAGTGCAGAGATTTTTGTCTAGATCATCAGATGGGATATGCAGTAAAAGGCATACAGAGATTTCTCTGGGTCAGAAGATGAATGAAAACGGAAAAGAAGCCATGTCCTATCTCATGTCCAAAGATGCTAATTCTCCTCTAGAGCTGTCCTCACCAACACACTGTACATGGCCATACTCCTTACCTCTCCGCAGGGCGTTCTGGGCGTCCTGAGTCATGGCATCGGCCTCATCC